AGAGTAGAGGCTGTTTTTTTTCACTATCCTACTAACTGAGTCCGTGAGTAATGTGTAAAGGTGGCCATGACTGTACCGATTTGTGATCAACTTGGGTATGAGTGATTGCAAACAAGCTATTTATTGTTTATAAAAATGTCAAACAATTCAACACTTCGGGTATTGCTCTGCACATGAATATATCAAATAAAAATTTGATCTATCAGTTATAAATGTAAAGAGTCTATGTAAATGATCGCTTTATCATCCAGTTCTTCCAACTCACGTTTGATCGGTCAGCAGCAATCAACAATATTTTGCCACAGCAGTTCTTGGCAGAATTTAAATTGATTGAATAGAAGATCTTTTGTTGCAATTTTTATTCCATTCGATTAGTTTAGTTGCATGGAATGATCGATTGTATGATCATATCAATACATGTGTGGCCACCTTAAGTTGGGAAGAGTGAAACCTAGATATGCACATGCTTGTTTCAAGCTAGTGTCTCACCAAATAGGAATCTCCTGCAAAGATGCAAAGTTTCATGCTGGATTATTGCATAGATCTGGAAGAAATACAGAATGCACAAGAAGATTTGTGTAAGAATACATGTAATTCTTGTATTTGGACAATACTTGCTGATCCTGGAGTTCAACTTAAGTGTCACAGCAGGGCTTATCTGAATGCCTAAGTTATTAAACAATGAAGTAGGCTTAATTATGAAAGAATTACACATATAGATCTTGTTTTAGCTTTTCTTACTTTAAGCTGGACCCTTCAGCTTGAGAATCAGGATTTAGAAAAAGCTAAGCAAGGGGGCAAATAGGATTTTTAGATCTTGATTATTGGGTTATAGAACAAACTTCAGAATTAGGACATTAGGCACAAAGTACAGACTAGGTGCAGCCCCTGTAGGTGGCTTAACCCCCATCTGCTAGAGGCAGTTAAGTAAGTCACAAGTGGTACAAAGAGCAACAACTGGTAACAGGCATAACAACCAGAAGAGTGGGTGCTGTGTCCTTCAATGTATGAAGACAAAAGTGATTTTATGGCATGTAACAAAATTTTATTATATCATTAAAAGCCACAGTATAGATCTTGACCATTGGTATGTCCCAAAACAGTGTCAAGCGGAGGGTGGGGGGGAAAAAACGAAACTAACTGCACATGGCCGCTCATAGAGTTCCCCAACTTAAGGCCCATTGCAAACCGCTAAATGTCCCAGGGATCCCAGTGGAGTGCCCTAGGGTGCTTGGAGGAAGGAGGGATGCTCGTGCAGCCAGAGAGGCTAACAATAAGAGACAACTGGATATTCCCATCTTGCGATCCATGGTTCAGACATACAAATTTTACTGATGCCAGCAATGATGGTAACCTTAAATGGGGAAATGTTTCTAATCGGTGCCAAGTCAGTGTTGAAAACTGAAGAACCAAAATTAAATCCCCCAGAATACAGGGAGAGTCACATGTACAAAAATCCAAATCAAAGATTAAGAGACCAGCAGCTTCTGCAAAAGGATTGCGGACTCATATCCCTGCCCCTTGACGGTGCCAGGGATCAACAGCCTGTCTGCAAATTGACAGGATTTGTCCAACAAAGAATTTTCTGGGGTGAAAGGCCTTAGCCTTCAACCAAAGTATACCTTCCATGTGCAATAGAGACCATGCAGGAAGAAGATATCCTAGTTGTAAACATTGTAGGAATCAATGATTCAGAGATGTCTCTGTCCATCAAGCCAGTTGCTAAAGTCAGTGACTGGATCAGGGCAGTACATTTTCTCTTGAGACAGAGGAGCTGGTTTATCTGTAAAAGCCCATGAAGTGCCTGCCAGGAGTCTGAGCAGGTTGGAGTAAGACACCCACCTGGGCAAATCCAGAGCAATTAAGGTCACCAGAATGTCTTCCCTCTAGCTCCTGGGAAGCAGATAAGTAGGCAGTTTCAAGGGAGTTGCCAGGAAGATGAAGGCAGCCTGCATGGCACATGTGAACGATAATTAGTGGTGCCAAGAGGGCTATTTAAGGCTTTGACTTGCAGGCCTCCAGTGCTGAGAGATCTTCAGCTATACGCCGACCTGCACCTCAGCATCGGTTTCTCATCTTCTGTTACTGATTCAGCTCATCCCCTAACTCTTCTGTGGCACTCTTGCAAATTTCTTCACCTTGCTTCCAGACCATGATTATTGCCTGCTACTTGGTACTACACTACCCACAAGTTGATGACTCTCTCTGCCTGCTGTATTGGTATCATCTCTCCTGACAGTTGCTGACCCTGGCTTGTTCCTGTACTCTTCTTATTGGTGGTCTGGATCTCTTGTTGCCTCTAGCCACGAGACAACTGTATTAACAGTGACATCACCCACCGGCACTCTCTCTTCCACTATCTAGGGGTGCTTGGTCTAGAGCAACAAGATAGGCCACCATCATCATCTCAGGCTCAGTATCTCTCAGCCATTTGGAGCCTGAAAGGGGCCCTCTATAAAGGTGGATCTCTGTCAGCAGATTGCTGCATTGACACAGGCTGTCAAGGATCTTCAAGAAGGGTATTTCCAGCTTGAAGGTTGGCTAGAATCCTTGACACAAACGTCACCTGCTACACCTCCCTCATATACATTCACTACAGAAGCTCCCATTCCAGCACCTATAATTGCAGAATCACCACCTGAACCTCATGTCCCCCTCATCAGAAAAGTTGAAGGGGACCAAGGCAAGTTCCATGCTTTCCAGAACCCCTCACCTTCTCACTGTAAACCAAGGTGGACTTTATGATTTTGCTATTACTTGGAAACCACAGGCCTGGGCCCACCACCTTTCAGAGCAAAACAGCCCTCTTCTAAACTCTTATTCTTCCTTTTTTTTTTTTTTTAAGTTTTTGCTGATCCTCACTGTGCTGGCTGTGCTGCAACTTCTGAATCAATTGTTCATGCTCTTCAGCAGGCCCCCGAGGCCAGTAGATTGTGTAGCACGATTCAGGAGGTTGGAGCCCCAGCAAATCTACATTTTTAGGATAAAACTAATTTTAGTGCATACAAACACAATACCTAATTTTTTGTTTCTTTTCTAAAATATAAAAGATGAGCTTGTGCTTGGCAAACGAATACCAAACATGTCAAACCTTAAAATTGATAAGAAATCACCTGCACGCCATACAGCCTATAGACCTTAACGGAGGGTTGGTGCTCGAAGTGACAACACGGATGGCGCCGTGTCAGACCAGTCCATAATAGAAGTCACCAGCACTCGATATGTGCAAGTAGTAAAGCATTTTGATTAAATTGTCACATGTGTCAAACAGCCAATGTTGTGGGGCCACGCAGGGTCCCTTCTTCTGGTTGACAAGGTCACTATGTCGTGCAGAAGGGACCCTGCGTGTCCCTGAAACATTGGTTGGATGACGCATGGGACAATTTAATAAAAAGAGCTTTACTTCTTGCACGCATCATCGAGTGCTGGTGACTTCTATTATAAACCTTAAAATTGCACACACCTGTGAAATGGCAAAAAACTATGGTACCCACTGGGTCGCATACTGTTCAACTCCTCGCGTTCTGGGGCGGGAGGTGCGTTCATGTCAATGGCCACATTCGAGTGCAGTGCGATCACAAAAAATTGTGCTTGTAGTATTTTTTGCGATCACTGGACCAGAATGCGGGCATTGCTGTGCTACATGTTCTGGTGCAAGCAATCACACTGCGGACGGGGGGTTGGGGGGCACGTGGCTGCGGTGCCATTGACCTGAATGCACCGCCACACTCCCTCCCTACCCTTAGTGATGGCCCTAGAATTATTTTGCTCACTCCAATGTTTGTGTATGTATGTGCATTTACGTGGGGGGTGGAAGGCTTTAGATTTTAACACTTAACTTTATTGCTATCACATAGGGGGCTAACAAGCCTGACAGCACAGATACAGGTCCTCTTTATGGAGAAATCAGGTCTCTATTAGACCCCTAATGTTACTAATGGACCCCATAAAAGAACAATTCATGCTGCATCTCCAGTCAGAGCAATGTGACAGTCTGCAACCAGAAGTGACAAAATCCTTCTTGCGTCAATTCCAGTAATCAGGGATGGGGAAGGGATCATCCCCTGAATGTGGGCAACATACTTTACAGCCACCCAATCACTTGAATAAGAAAGACAGCAGTCAGCTGAAGAGAGTGGTACCAAGATCATGGTTGCTGCACACAAGTACTAGACATTTATATTTACTTCTATCCAGGGCTTGAAAAATCCACTCGTCACAGGACGGCAGAGCCCGACGAGCAGCTTCCCGGCCGTTGTAATTACACGGTTGGCCTGGAGCTTTACATTCAATTGATCAAGCGTCTCGAGACGCCCGATCGCTTGTATTACCAGCAGCTGTCACTGCCGTTGCCGAGATCCGATGTGCCCGAGACCGGCTTGGCTCTGTGACAGGAGATTAAAGGGAGCTCAGTAAATGAACTCCCTTTGATCTCCTCTCAGTCCCCGAATGCAGGAAGTGATGTACACTACATCACTTCCTGCTTTCAGTGTCACTTTCCAGCTACAGAAGCTGATGAAGCAGATCTCTGCATCATCAGCAGATCTCTGCATCATCAGCAGATCTCTGCATCATCAGCAGATCTCTGCATCATCAGCTTCTCTGGGGGTCCCTAGATGACATTAGGGGTCTTGGAGACCCCTGATGTCTTCATAAAGAGGACCTGTCATGTAAATTGGCTATCACATAGGGGGTTTCTTATTCCCCCTATGTGACCACCTTATTCCTCCCCCCATGTGATAGCAATAAAGTTGTGTAAAATTAAAAAAAAAAGTAATACAAAAATTAAGCAATCATTAAAAAAAATAAAGCAGCATTAAAAAATGTGTTTTAAAATATTTTTTTTTTAAGTCCTCCGCCCCCCACATACACATGCAGATATGCGTCGGGTGCGCCTACATGCGAAAACAACTATTGTGCCGCACATGTTACATATAACTGCGAACATCGGAGTGTGAGCAATAATTTTAGGGCCCTTAATTACTGATAACACTAAACTGATGAGCGGTAAAAGTGTTTTAAGTGTCGCCTATGTAATTTTCAGTGTGCTCGTTTTTTGCAATTGCGGGCGCACGCAATTTTAAGGCTTGACATGTTTGGTGTCTATTTACCCGACGTGACCGCGACTTTTATATTTTAGCAAAAATATGGGTAAGAATAAATGTTTCATAACATAACATAGGGGAAACTTTTTTATTCGTATATGTATGTATGCTTATATCTGTACGTAAGTGGTTAAAGCCTGTATCTAGCAGTCTCTCACAGGTTGGATTCACACTGTTGCGGCGCATTAACGTGCGATCTGAATTCACAATTTTTTTATAATGTACTGCACCACAACACACTGTAGTGCCATTAAGAATGGACACAGCAGCGCACCAAAATGCATTGCAACAGTGTAAACCCATTCTGAATGGAAATGGTGATGCAGATGGTTACACAGCTTATACTTCAGGAATTACACTCCCACCCATACCATTTATAGCTGTGCGCACTTCTACTGCAGGGGACAGTATATAATTCACATGAAGGTAAAAAGGGCAAACCTGATTTTAGCAGCGTTTCTGTATTTAATGCAGAGTATTAATGCTTTCACTCGATCCCTAGAATTGCCCTTTGAACATTCCCTCCAGAATAGCTTTGAACAACTCTTATCCATGTTAAAATTTTATAAGATTAGGCAAATAAAAACAAAAAACAAAGATGTAAAATGATTTTATTTTTTCTCTGGTGTACCATCTTTGTATAAAATAGCAGTTTTTAGGGTGCCCATAAGTAGGCGACATGCTCTTAGGAAGGATTTCCACAGACTATTACCCGTAAGAACTGCTTGCATGTTATATTATTATGGGGGGACCTGTTCTTACTCTTCTCACCCACAAATTTTTTGCTATACTTTTTACTTTAATAACTTCAGCACTGAATGAAAGGATGTGAGATTTTCGCAGGACTTCATCCACTTCTCCACATTTGCCGGAATGGCAGTCGAGCTACCAGACTGCTGAATGGCACACCAACTGACTATGTCTGCAATGGTCAGTTCATTTCCCACCAGCCAGGGTGACTTTCCTAATGCAGAGTTCATGGCCCGCAATACAGCCGCTTTTTCCTTACTGCTGCCTTCCTTCAGTTGGAAGATGGCGGTGTCCACCCAGCTGTCAATCAGTGTGGCCGTAACTGCGTTAAAAGAGTTGCCCAAGAGGGAGAACAGGAAACGGGCTATGTTGCCTTCTCCTTCGATAGGACACATATTTTGAATGCTGAATTTCATTTGTGGTTTAGGCACTGTAGGAAAAAATAAGAGTCAACATTTAAAATACAGACTATGCCAAGCAAAATGATTACATAACTGGCTAAAAACCCATCTGGGACTTTACTTTATTCCCTAAACCTGTGTGCAGATTTGGGCATTGCTGCTTTGCCTAAAACCCCGGAACCAAACCTACTTGTAATCTACCAACTCCGACACAAAGTTTTCATGAAATACAAGTAACGCATAACAACTAATCAGAATACATCATGTATAGAGTAATGTTGTGGCTTGTCATGCATTAATGTACTTAAAAGGCAAGTTCACAGTCTCAAAACATTTGAGGAAATGAACTTCCCAAAAGCACCCCACCACCTCTCTTCCTGTCCCCCGCTGCACATACCCGTGTGATCCCGTCGGCTGAGGTATGGTCCGTACACCACACCACACAGCCCAAGAGTATGTAATGAGCATAATGCTTGCAAATGGCAAGCGCTCATTGATCAGCAGGGTCACATGACCACGCTACCAATGTGAAGCGCTTCTGAACCAGGGACCAGGTCCAAGAAGCGCTTCTCATTGGTCAGGTGACTGTGCTGGCCAATGAGTGCTCGCCACTTGAGAGCATTATGCGTATTAAATACTGTGGGGCTGTGACCATACACTAGCTGGCAGGGGATCTTACAGATATGTGCAGCAGAGGCCAGGAGAGGTAGTGTCGCCGAGTTCATTTTTCCACATTTTGTGAGAAAGTGAACATACCCTTTAAGAATCAGAACTCATTGAATAAGGTGGAAATCTTTCAAGCAGAATTCTCTGTAAAGCTGGCCATACACTGGGTTGAATTTCGGCAGAGTCCTGCTCTCACTGGATCAAAGACAATGAAGAAAGACTGGCAGGGGGGTCTGGGTCGGGGGTACACAATGTAGGTGTAAATGCAACAAAGTTAGGTGTAGTAAGACTTTAAAGACATTTCGCAGAGTTGTCAGACTCCAGGGCAAAAACACCCAAAAACAAATACGGTTTCATTCTTCACTTGCCGGAATATGCAACACCTCTAATTTTATTTCCTATAGTTTGTCACAGCTTACCATCTTTCCAGATGAGAGTGAAGCCAAGTTGATATTCCTGTCGGTACTTTTTATTCACTTGATCTCCAAAGCATTTCAGAAGAGGTTCTGGGATGTTAGTGACAGAAGAGTGCGTGTGAACTGCTGACAGCACCTGGTAGCGGTCACACAGCAGACTGTGCAGGATCAGCAGCGAAAGTGGAGGCAAAGCAGGATTTGCATTGATGACAATATCTCTTAACGCACCGTAATCCTGGGTTAAGAAACCAAACAGTCAAAACAGAATTCTGCACATGGTCACAACACATACAATTTTAGCTCCCAGTACTTGGGTGGAGTCAAACATTGCCGACATCTTTGCTGAAGTTACTGCAATGCCACGTTTTTTTATTTGAATATAAATGCATGCTTTCAAATTGCAAACATTTGGCAAGAGAAGGCTGCATTTGACCTGCTTCACCTGCAGTTCAAGAGCTACACACATCAAGAGCTACCCAAAAGAAATGCAAGGCAACTCAAAGCAGGTCAAAAGGCAACACAAAGCGCTTGACAAGATAAGACTGCCTTAGACCTCCTTTGCCTGCAGTTAGTGCAACAGGACATACTGAAATGCGGCACAATGCAAAGCAGGTTAAACAACCTCTGAACTGTTATGTATACTGCTTAACCCCTTCATGACTGAGCTAGTTTTCAGTTTCTGTTCAGAAATAACTGACACTTTTTACATTTTTGCTATGCGATTCTTCCACGGCAGTAATATACTTTCTTACTAAATGTACCCACACATTATATATTGTTTTTTTAGAGGACAGAGGGCTATATAATGATATCAAACATGTGTACCCAACTCCTCACTTATTTGTAATAAAATAAAAGAGGAAAAAGAGGAAAAAACGTAAAGAAAACACTTTTCACAAGTTTTGATAATTTTTTAAAAATGTTTTATAATAGTATTATTTTCATAATTTTTTTACACCTTATTTTTTTTTTTTTTACACAAAAACAAACAAACATTTTTTTGTCAGTTTATATCAAGCAGTACCTATGAATGCTTGATAAATTAACTTTAAAAAAAAAAAATGTTGGCTATTATTTAGGAACAGCTAATAATAACCTTAGAGACTGATCCTGGCAGCATGTCAGATTCAGATCTCACTAAAGGTCTTTGATCGTGCTCAGACGATCAGAAGTGATACATTTCAAGCAAAGAGATACATTGTAATATTCCTGTGCCTGAAATGTAGCAGAGAGGTGACTAACTCTGCTACCTCTCTGCTCTCTTCTCTTCAGCTGTCAAATACCGGAAACGCTATTTAGCGCTCCCGTATTTGTGAAATGAAAGAAAGAACCTTTTACAAAAGCTTAACTATTTCATTAATGAATGCCTCAATACTGAGAATCAGCGGTTACCGGCATTACAGAACCTTAACAGTCATATTACAGTGTACGTGGCCAGTCATATAGGCACTTCGTGGCGGGATGTACAGTGTACGTCTCAAGTCACAAAGGGGTTAAATGAAGGCGATAAGATTTTGTTGACCTGCGCTTAAAGTGCGCTCCAAATGCAGGAAAACAATGCCTGTTGAGCCCATAAGTGCACCTTTTCAATAATGCATGTAACTCAAAGGCTGAAGCAAGCAGATATGGTAAAGGGTTCTATAGTTCAACCAAATGTGAATTTGGTAGAATGTAGAAGATGCAGGATCTTAGTAACTGGAGAATAATTGATAGTGTCAGACATCCTTGCAGCATATGAGAAACTGCTGTCATCATGGCAATTTCACACAATTCTACAGTCTAAGGAGTTTACATATTATCATACCATCATAACTATAAGTAACCCTTAGGTGTCACAGCAATATTTCGCCACATACAAGGATTACAAAGAGCCTAGAAGCAGTCTTTATACTGACCAGCCACCCTGATCATATCCATTTCCCAGCATCCCTTGCCATCCATTCCAAATATCCCAGTAGGCATGGCCACCAACACTACCTGGTTGATATAAAATGAACACCATACAGAACCAACACTCAGCAGTAATAACATACTTTTCCAAGTATAGCGTCCAAGTCTGCTGTCTGAGGGACTGGACCTGCTGTCGTATCTGCCTGAATAATGTCTGTCACATCGAGATCTGCATCTGGAGTCTGGATCATCTTTGAGAGGCCATCAACAGCAGCTTTCAGCTCATAGAGGCGCTTCAAGATGTCTTCTTGCCTGGACTCCAGAGCTTGAAGAGCTGGGTCAGCTTGCTCCTGAGGGTAGAACACAATAGCAAAAGTCAGACAGGATTACAGAAAAACAGTTGCTCAAAAAAATGTAACGGTCTGAAGATACAAACTAACAACCAACTAGAATGTCACAATCCATTCTGGAGAGAGTCAGGAGTGGCAGCTGTAACATCCTAGTGACACTCTGCAAGCCCACTACTATAAAATGCTGAATTATAGAACCTGCTATAGTTGACCTTCTGCAATATCAAGTTTTGCTTCCTACTGGCAGATGTTACAGTCAAGAGGTCCTAACAGATGGAGATGATAAACTCCTGAATCAAAGTACACACCATTACAATTGGGCTGGCCTCTCACTGTATGAACACTGATATACATATTGACACATGCACTTAAAACAAAATCAGTTTGCAGCTGGTGAGGACATTCAGCAAAGCTCATCTCCTCCTCTCCTTTGCCTGAGGCCAGCATTGCTATATATTTACATCACCTAAAGCATACTGTCAGACTGCATTCCAGTCCATGCAAATGCAATGCTATATTCTTTCCAGAAAGGCATATAATATTCAGGAAGAATTTATTAAAGGCCATCAATGTGAAAATGATTTCCTTACTGGCATACCGCATAGAAGATATATTTCTAAAAATGACAGAACACCCATCTCCACAGATCCTATTACTCTCCCACAAGTAACGTCTGCACTGATCAGACATGCCAGCCAAGTCTTATTGCAGCATGGTGCTTGATTACACTGGAATAGAGTCGATCTTCTCCCCTTACTATATGTGATCTGCTTAATCCAACAAGGGTTGGTGTTTGGTGGCAGATTGCATTACCCCCTAGACAATTGCACAAAAACATGGTTCCCCTGGACCCCAGTAGTCCATGATCTTACTTAACAGCCCAGAGCACTAAAGCTGGCCTCACACTGTGCGAATTTTGGCTGATTCTTGATGCACCAGCCAAACAATGTATTCAGTGGATTGGCCAGTTGGCAGCGTTCCATCCAGCATCCTTAACCCTAGTATGTGTATATATGTAAGTGAGGTAGGGGCCTTAGATTGTAAATTGGCCCTAGCAGGGGAGAGAGGGGCCTTAGATTGTAAATTGGCCCCAGCAGGGGAGAGAGGGGCCTTAGATTGTAAATTGGCCCCAGCAGGGGAGAGAGGGGCCTTAGATTGTAAATTGGCCCCAGCATGGGAGAGAGGGGCCTTAGATTGTAAATTGGCCTTAACATGGGAGATAGGGACCTTAGATTGTAAATTGTCCCTAGCATGGGAGAGAGGGGCCTTAGATTGTAAATTGTTCCTAGCAGGGGAGAGAGGGGCCTTAGATTGTAAATTGGCCTTAACATGGGAGATAGGGACCTTAGATTGTAAATTGTCCCTAGCATGGGAGAGAGGGGCCTTAGATTGTAAATTGTCCCTAGCATGGGAGAGAGGGGCCTTAGATTGTAAATTGGCCTTAGCATGGGAGAGAGGGGCCTTAGATTGTAAATTGTCCCTAGCATGGGAGAGAGGGGCCTTAGATTGTAAATTGTCCCTAGCATGGGAGAGAGGGGCCTTAGATTGTAAATTGTCCCCAGCATGGGAGAGAGGGGCCTTAGATTGTAAATTGTCCCTAGCATGGGAGAGAGGGGCCTTAGATTGTAAATTGTCCCTAGCATGGGAGAGAGGGGCCTTAGATTGTAAATTGTCCCCAGCATGGGAGAGAGGGGCCTTAGATTGTAAATTGTCCCCAGCATGGGAGAGAGGGGCCTTAGATTGTAAATTGTCCCTAGCATGGGAGAGAGGGGCCTTAGATTGTAAATTGGCCCTAGCATGTGAGAGAGGGGCCTTAGATTGTAAATTGTCCCCAGCATGGGAGAGAGGGGCCTTAGATTGTAAATTGTCCCCAGCATGGGAGAGAGGGGCCTTAGATTGTAAATTGGCCCTAGCATGTGAGAGAGGGGCCTTATTATTATTATACAGGATTTATATAGCGCAGTTTGCGCAGTGCCTTAGATTGTAATTGGCCCTAGCATGGGAGATAGGGGCCTTAAGGTCCCCACACACCTTACGATAATCGTAAGGTGTGTGGAAGCTGTGCGACCTCTACTACTGTAAGGTCGCACGACTTTAAACTTACAGACATGTTCGAAAAACCGCCGAGCATCGTACGATGTTCGGCGGGTTTGTGGCATGTCCGTACGATAAAAGCCGTACGGGCCGGTGTGCGCAAGCGCACACTGCCCGTTCGGCATTGCGGTCATCAGAAGCCCGCCCCTCAGGGGGCGTGGCTTGCGATCATCGCAAGTACAATCTGCCTATGCAAGATAGGCAGATCGTATGTTTTTTTTTAGTACCTTACAGCCATCGCAAGATGGTTGTAAGGTGTGTGCCCAGCCTTAGATTGTAAATTGGCCCTAGCAGGGGAGAGAGGGGCCTAAAGGTGCCCATACACTGCTCGATTCTCGTACGTCTTTTGTCTAAGGAGCATGTTAGAAAACCAGCCGAGAATTGTACGATTTTTGGCTGGTTTGAACAGTGCTCGGGAGACAAATGCCGAACGGGCCGGTGTGCGCACACTGCGCGTTCAGCATTGCGGTCATCGGAAGCACGCCCCTCAGGGGGGCGGGCTTGCGATGATCGAGAGTGCGATCTGCCTGTCCAAGATGGGCAGATCGTACGTTTTTTTAATCACTTTACAACCATCGCAAGACTAAGGTCTTGCGATGGTTGTACAGTGTATGGCCACCTTTAGATTGTAAATTGGCCCTAGCAGGGGAGAGAGGGGCCTTAGATTGTAAATTGGCCCTAGCATGTGAGAGAGGGGCCTTATTATTATTATACAGGATTTATATAGCGCCAACAGTTTGCGCAGTGCCATAGATTGTAAATTGGCCCTAGCAGGGGAGAGAGGGGCCTTAGATTGTAAATTGGCCCTAGCAGGGGAGAGAGGGGCCCTAGATTGTAAATTGGCCCCAGCATGGGAGATAGGGACCTTAGATTGTAATTTGGCCCGAGCATGGGAGAGAGGGGCCTTATTATTATTATTATACAGGATTTATATAGCGCCAACCGTTTGCGCAGTGCCTTAGATTGTAAATTGGCCCTAGCATGGGAGATAGGGACCTTAGATTGTAAATTGGCCCTAACATGGGAGATTTGCGATAATCTATAGGTGTATGGCCAGCTTTAGAATGTAAATTGGCCCTAGCATGTAAGATAGGGACTTTACATTGCAAGCTCGTTGGGGGTAGGACTGATTTAAAGTCACAGTATGTAAAAGTACTGTATAAATTGTCGTCCCAATATAAATACCTGTGATAAATAAAACTTGTTATATTATTGCTATTCAAGCCATCTAATTTTAGCTAGACTCTGCAGTCATCTCTGGGCAAAAGCAGCAATAAATGTCTACCATCAGATCTAACCTTTGCTCATATTGAATTCTTAGTGGGCCAAAAACCGGCTCTTGTGCCTGAAAAGAAGCTCAAGAACTATTGAAAGCTACAAACAACACAACACAGGTATGAACGGCACCATTGAAATGAATGGGATGCTTCATGGTCAGCGTTGTCACCTTTCCGGAAGCACATAGTAAAACACTTTGGCATGAATGGGGGCTTTAAAAATAGATGTACATGAACTATCCTGGTAGAGAAGCTCAGAGGAAGGCACATGTCTCTCAATGACTGGAAAAGCATGGAATAAAGGCTGGATGTGGCCTTAGGGCTCGGCATGACTGTGACATTTTACCTGCTCATGGTGTCCAGTGACCTGCTGATGCAGGTTGGGCAGTCTGTACATGCAGCTAGGCAGATCTACCTGGATGTCCCCGCTGTTGAATGGCTGCACTCTGTACATGGGCATGTCTGCGGCAATCACACTACAGCACGCTGCGCTCCCCACACACCGGGCGCTCCCCTGATTCTGCGTTGATGACGTCCCGAGCACCCAATTCACACCAGCAAAGCCAATGTGTGGAGGCGACTGATGCAACTTACGCTGTCACCATCTTTACTAATGGCAAGGCTGCTTTCGTTGCCGTATCAGTTGCTTTATGCATCCCTCGTCAAATATGAAGCCACAGAATCACTCCAAATTACGTGTGGCTTGACATCAAGCAAGCCAGCCACTAGGCTGCAAACTGGGGCGCCAGCAGTTCTTTTATAGAGCCCTTATCAAATATGACGGCCACAGATTCACGCCAAGTCACGTGTGGCTCGACTCCAAGCTAGCCAGCCAATAGGCTGAAAACTGAGGCACTACCAGTTCTTTTATAGAACCCTCATCAAATATGACGGCCGCAGATTCACTCCAAGTCACGTGTGGCTCGACCTCAAGCTAGCTAACCAATAGGCTGCAAGCTGAGATACAAGCTTGAGTGTCATGGGTCAGTGGGAGAGCGGAGTGTGCGGCAAGAAGAGGGCGGCTTGCATATGAGGCGGCGGGAGTCTCAAGTACAGATGGATGCTCTATAACAATGGGCGTGCTATGTGAATAGTATTAGGTGTAGAGTAACACGGCACCATGGAGCAACCTTGGTGAGTCCGCTTCTACTAAGGGAGCTGTTTGTTGGAGTCCCAAAATAATTTTGTGTCCCCAAAAAATTAGACTGATCAGGTCCTAGATCACGGTACCTTAAAGTGGCCTGCCATTAAAATTAACAGTAAATACACAGTGCATGATCGAATTACATTACAGAAGTAAGATGTCATTCATAAAAACGTTTGCTTTTGTTGCACGTGACTTAAAAGCCTAGGCGAAAATCACGTGGTCTGTGGCAGCTGAGTATTATGGGTGTTCTACATTACAGCAGTCTATTGTATCAGTAGAACCGGTCTGGTACACTTGTTCTGTGATTAGGTGAGCAACACATATTCTCTAGGTTCCTAAAAGACCTGGGGTTTGTAGTATACAAAAGTGGGTGAAGTTGTTTCTCATTCCTCTTGACTAAACATAAAAATCAAATATATTGCTTTAAAAAATCCAATAAATGAATCAATAAGTTGATAAAATCATGTTCCAAAAGCATAATGTACATATATATATCATTGTTAATAAATGGGCTTATTCTGTTTAGTGAAAAAGAAAACTGGATTGTGAGGTTCAGGTAAATGTAGAAACCAAGATGCCAGGATCTAAAACTATACCCAACGTGATTCTGAAGAATTGTGAGGGGAAAAATGTACTTATTGGTAAAAATTAATGAACTAAATTTAGGGATCCTACTCGAGATGGCAGCTATTGCAAATGGCACCTGGGGCACATGCCCTGTGTGTCAACGTCTAAGAACGCCACTGCAGCAGATCCTGAGCGTTTAGTAAAATATGACTGCTCCATGTACATATACAGTATAATAATAACCTAAACCTAAAAAGGTTTTTATTACATAAACGCGGATAACACCATTAACCACCTGCAGACTAGCCACTGTATATGTATGGCCGGTCCGCAGCCCCATTTTACCCAGGAGGGCGTATTTATACATCCTTCCTCGAACACTTGTGTTCATGTGGCTGCTGCTCCTGCTGTCATTAGACAGCAGAGAGCTACGGCTTTAGACACAGCCAATAGGACCGGTGTTCGATCAAAAGTTTGAACTTATCGAGTTCTGCGACCTCCTGACTTCCGGTTTCGCTACAACTAAGAGGTTTGCCCAAGAAAGTTGTTCTTCACGAGCGCCAGCCAAGGCATTGCTCTATACACATACAGCACAGCAATGAAGTAATAAAATGAACTAGGATCGCAGTAATCCAGCACATTATTATTCTGAGTTGCCCCATATTGGCGGCCATATTGAGTGGGGTACGTGAGATTAATAACGTGCTGGATTACTGTGATCCTAGTTCATTTTATTGCTTCATTGCTGTGGTGTATGTGTATAGGGCAATGCCTTGGCTGGCGCTCGTGAAGAACAACTTTCTTGGGCAAACCTCTTAGTTGTAATAAAACCGGAAGTCAGGTGGTCGCAGAACTCGATAAGTTCTCAGTGTCGACAGAACACCGGCTATGTGTCCTGTGATCGGTTATCACAGTGATTACATGGCAATGTTTACATTGCCAAGCCCTCCCCTTCCTCTTCCAATAGAGGCAGGGGAGAGTAAATGGAGTAATCAATGGATGAGTCATCCATTCAGTACTTCCTAGTGAAAACTAGATGCAAAAGATTAAATCCTTTTACCCCCATCCCCCCCTACTTATGTTAGTTCCATTCTATCTATGCTCTGACCTGTACATTATCCCTTTCACCCCCTGCTCCCTCTGTCTACGAATTGTACATTTATTGTATTTTGTGCACAATTACCGAGCTCCATGTTTTAACCCCCTCAATACCGCTATGTATCTTCATTTCCAAAAAACTGCCGCAAAAAGGGGTCATTTCTGGGATTTTCATACTGTCCTTGCAATTGTTTATGAATGAAATTAAGAGACACAGGATTTTATTTCAAATCTTTTGGTCTTTTTTTACTTTACATAGTAAAAAATAAAAAGTGGTTATTAAATAGCACTAAAAGAAAGTGTCCCAAAAAAAGATATAACATTAATTTTGTTATAGTGTCGCGTGATGGAGGAATTCTCAGCCAAACTTGCACAGCGCTGAAAACTGAATAATGGTCTGGTAATGAATAGGGTGTAACATGTCGGTACTGAAGTGGTTAAAGAGGAACTCAGGCCAAAATGTTTCTTATCCCATGCAGTGGAGCTACCCCCGCACTTTAAGGGGTAAGTGCTCCTTTTTTGTCTAGGTGCAAAAATAACAATTATACTAAACCAAACCTGGCAGCCAGCTGGCTGTTACAGCGCTCCCTCCAGCCTGTCTGCTTCTCCGCTCTAGCCATAGTATGTCCCTCGCGAGGCACAGCGAGGCACAACCAGCCGCGGGCAATTTGTCCAGTCAGAGGGAAAGCAACGTGCAATCAAGGTTCTTGGGGGCAGTTGTAATCCAGCCATGGAGTCCAGGTTTACATAAATGTGTGCGAGTCAGATAAAATTGCCATGACCTCTCATGCACCATTATGCCCATGACCCTTTGCTTAACCTCCAAAAAGTTCATGGATGTCTGTTTCCAGGCCCTGGCTTTACTCTGACGGGTGGCAAGGAAGATAAAAGCAGCCAGCTTTCTCTTCCTCTTCATAAGGTCTGAAAGCCCATTTTAAGCTAAATAAAAACGCACCAGAACGCAGTAAAAATGCACTGCACTGCGTTTGCAGATCTGCTCCAGATCTGGTCTGGACACGGTGTGAACATAGCCTAAGGGCATATTTATAAAACAAAGAATCGTGATTTACAAATCTGCTCAATAATGGATGGTAAAATAAAAACTGCCATGAGGAGGACAGCCTGTTCACATGATCTGTTAAAGTCACGTGACCGGCCTTCGTTCCCATCACAGAGTTTTCTCTACAACATGCAAATAACATTTTGTAGGCTCATTGGGCTCCACAGCATGGCCTACATTTTAAGAATGACTCGTAAAATGCAGGCTCAATGAGGACAAAAAAACTGCGGTGTACAGGGAATAGCGGTTTACTCTCTCCCTTATAAATGGGGCCCTAACTGCCACTCCATGGAATTAACCCAGTGAGCCCTGTATCCACAATAACAGTGCAAAGGAAAGGTAATAGTGAATTATATAGTCAGACTCCTATTGTGCTGGTGATCAATTCAGGTTTTACTCTAAACCCCAGCTTCAGCCAAAACTCTTCTAGAACATCTTCCAGTGGTCTTTTGCTGTGTGTCCACTTTAGGGAGATTCCTATCCAGTACAGAGGGGGAAATCTCTTAAGTCAGCATAGAAAAAGCATCAACAACTATGTATTTAGTAGATTGGAAGAAGGTTAGAAGCACTCTGATGGGCTGTTTATTAATCTGAGTATTTATTTACAGTACTGAACCAGCTAAAGCAATCAAGCCAATAGATCGCAAGTCTGTCCATCAGATTTGTTCTGGTCAGGTGGTGCTGAGTCTCGCAACTGCAGTCAAAGAGCTTCTGGAGAACAGTATAGATGCTGGTGCAACCTGTATAGGTAAGTTCTCTCAGACATTTTAAAATGTTTTTTTTTGTGTAAATGTTTTAAATTATTTATCTACTTTTGGCTTAAAAAGCCTTAATCATCCCCTCCTTGCCATAGTCATCTATAATATTCCCAATTAGGGACATTAGATCAGACAGTCGCCTAGTTGTAAGCACTGCAGCCTATGACAGACTGGACAGGATTGCAGTGGCCTGGGAGCTGGTGAGCTGTGCAGCACTGTGCATGTGCTGGTGGCCTACCTGTTCACCGACCCTAAACCTAGGGGTTCTTATTGTGTCCACTGACACCATTGCTGGGGGTTCTTATTGGGTCAACTGACACAAATGCTGGGTGTTCTTACTGTGTCCACTGACACCAATGCTGGGGGTTCTTAATGTGTCCACTGACACCAATGCTGGGGGTTCTTAATGTGTCCACTGACACCAATGCTGGGGGTTTTTACTGTGTCCACTGTCACCAATGCTGGGAGTTCTTATTGTGGTCCACTGTCACCAATGCTGGGGGGTTCTAGTAATCATCATGTATAATTCAGTTCAAAACTAAAGGGGAGAATGTGTACTAGAGTAATTAGTAAAAGCTATTTCTATTTCACAGACAATGGAGTTTTGCATGTTTGGGTTTTTTTAGGAACTCAACAAACATCCATGATTTTATAGTTTTTCACCATGCGGTGCACTGCTGTCTCTTGAGGACTGATATTTTTGCGAATTTTGAAGCAAGCTTTTTGTTTGATCCTAACCAATGCGCTTACTTGCATGTTTTAATTGCATTCATGTATTTTAGATGTAAAACTGAAGGAATATGGAGCCGAACTCATAGAAGTCTCAGATAATGGCTGCGGAGTTGAGGAACATAATTTTGAAGGCCTGAGTAAGTAAAATGTTGTAATAAATGTGAATCAAAGCAGAACTGAATGCTTTTGAGATGTACATGACTTTTCATTTGCTTCCTGCTCTATAACAATGCTTTTTCACTTACCTGATCTCTGCTCCCTCTGGGCTGCTAGACTGGTCCCTGCAGCCTCTTCTGCTCCGACAGTCTAAGGACCGCTGACTTCACATGAAATGCAGGTTCCATAGATGCTGAAGCAGAGGGGGGAGAGAGAGGTTAGCACTGCCCGCTGGGAGATTGGGGGATCAGGTAAGTAAAAGTGCTTTACTCTGGTCCCCCAGGCATGAAGGAGCTCTTAACCCTTCCAGTGCAGGGGTAGCCCCACTGCAAAACTAGTTTTTGGTTTGCCCAGAGATGGGCTTTAAAGCAGAATTGAATGTTGACTTGTTATAGCAGCATGGAAAAACACTATTACGTTGGAGGGGAGTCAGTCATATGCTCCCCCGTACTCAGGAATATCCAGTGTTTTGTTTGCCTACACGGGCAAAGCACAGGTCTGCTTTAGACAGTGGGTCCCACAGACTGGTTCTTATTTCAACACTGATTTATTATGATTTATATTTCCTTTGAATAATATGTCTTTTATTTTTTATCCATTTTTTTTTGTTTAGCTTTGAAACATCACACATCAAAGCTACAAGATTTCTCTGATTTGGTTAATGTGGAAACATTTGGTTTTCGAGGAGAAGCCCTAAGCTCACTGTGTGCATTAAGGTAAATATATTGTTGCCAGTAGGACAACTTTACAGTTTAAAAAATGGGTAATTCCTTTGTTGTGTTAAATGTTATAATTTTAAGCAGACTTCTCAGTATCTTTACAAGTCTGTAGGCATACGTTCCTGACATGTTACAATATAAAGCAAGCTTATATGGTACAGTGTTGTGATACGTGGGGGTGTGTTGCGCTAGGTCTAAGTGTATCAAAAGAGTATTTTTCAAGCACACCAACTTCCAAACACCTACACCACTACTTTAGCCCCCCAAAACACCTGGGCTATTCAGTGGTCTAGGTTAGTGATCATAAACATATGTATATATATTACTCTCTTTTGATAGGATATGGTGATCATTGAGTGAAACAATATAAAAAACCTTCTGAATTAGTAACACATGAAATCAACATAAATGTGAAACCCCTAGGAAGTGGTTTACAATGATGGTAATACTAAATCATGCAGTGATAATAGTGCTCTAAAAATTATAAACACAAAGATTGTGAACACTTCATAAATCAAGTGTTTTGTGGATCTGTTATTTCTATTCCAAATCAGATGAAGTGAATGTGAGTTGTTAGCTCTTAGTCTCACCCCAAGTGAAAAAAATAACAATGAATGTGGGATCTAGATAGGACCTTAGACGCAAATAGTCATTCTACATCCAAAGAACGAAAGAGCAGTTAATGTTCCGTGTCTTCTTGCTTATGACACTTTCCTCGGTTGCGTGGACAAAAGAAGTTCTATATTCTCCAAATTATCCCGTGGTGTCTTCAGCAAAAACCCAATATTCTCCTTTGCTCCCCAATTCCCTGGCGTGCCAGCGGATAAGTTGACCACACACAGCTCCCTCTGTTTAACCTTCTCTCCACCACTATTTCTGGCAGTGCACACTCAGAGGTGTCCCAAGGGAAAGGAGAGGAAAAAAAGGGAGAAAGCCTTCTAAGTGGATTAACTTAAAAAACATTTATTTAAAAGTATAAATTGCACTTACAGGAACAAACAGGATAAAAGCATAAATCTGTAGGATCGCTCAGGCATAAGAGACGGACACAGTTGATTCCCTTGACATGTTTCGTCGAAAGAGACTACTTCAAAAAGTGATACTCTTTTGGTGTTGGAAGTTGATGTGCTTGAAAAATAGTCTTTTGATACACTTAGACCTAGCGCAACACACATCCACGTATCACAACACTGGTAAATATAACCATATAGTGTTGCGGCTGGTCGAAATTTCACATTTAGTTCTCCTAGCGCAATGGTTTTTGTCTTTTTATGGAACAGTGTCTCACACGCTTTCTTATAGGATAATATTAGGAAAATCAGGTCATCAGGCTGCTGTAGGCATGTTCTTAGACTTCCCTTGCACATGGATCCCTCTGTTCAGCATGATGTTCTGGCAGATCACATGATAAAAGATAATTTGTGAATGGTTATCATTATTGATTTTTACACTGACAAGTTACAGAGTGACTAAAATGTGTGATGGATTTTTTACATTGGCTGATCACAGACTGAGAACCAGCAGCAGCATGTGACACATGGCCAAAAACATAAAGGCTACTGCACAGGCACCAGGGCTTACATATCTAATTTCTGGCTAGCATTTTATTTGAAAGTAAATGCTGACCCTAGATAATGCCCAAACAAATATGGCGCCATTCTTCTGGGGATGAAAGAAGATGAAGTTATTGACAGGTAGACTGTTATATATTTGAAAGATAAATACCTGTAGGTGTTACATGTATTCATTACCTAGCATGCATGCACACAAAAATATAACTGATGTGTTTTTTTTTCTCCTCTCTAGTGACTTGTCCATTTTTACCTGCCATAAAACAGCAAAAGTGGGAACCCGTTTGGTTTTTGATCAGAATGGAAAAATTGTCCAGAAATCTCCTCTCCCTCGACAGCAGGGAACTACAGTCACTGTGCAACAGATTTTCTACACCCTGCCTGTGCGCTACAAAGAATTTCAGCGGAACATCAAAAAGGTATTTGGTTCTGGAATTCCTCCCTCTAAAGAAAGGAAAATCCATAGAATATTCTGACCTCTAAGTTGGAACAATATAGTGCTATCCAAAAATATTTTATTCATAAACGGGACTGTATGTACAGTAAATATAATAGTATGCTTGCTAGGGGCATGACGGCACACCCTGGGACCATACTGGGAATGTGAACACTTCCACCCTCAATCCCCTACTCCCATAGGGATATTTCCTGTGGTCTGTCTGTCTTTTTGGCTGTAGACTTTAACAACTGCTGGAGAACAATTTGGAGAGCTAGAGAAGGCGAGGAGGGGTGCGGTGAGGGCTGCCAACATTTTACATATAGGCCACCATTTTGATAGCTGTGATCTAGAGCGACTTGTTGTGAAATTCAGATATGAGCTTATTAGTGTGTTTTTTGTGAATTAAGTTTGATGTTGACAGGCAAGGCAAACAAAATATACTCAGTGAGGGCTTGATTTATCACATTCCGAACAATGAAAAAGAAAATGAAATGAAAAATGCAGAAGTAAAAATGCAAAAAAAAAAAACAACCCAAACTAACATGCTTTATAATACAAAAACTCTCAAAAACATCAGAGAGCCGTACTAAAACTATGCAGTCACAGGTATACATGCGGCTTTATGGTTGACTGTTACTGTCAGATGGTCTACAGCTCCTGAAACTCATACTCCCACTTTTTCTCTTTTAAGGAATTTGCAAAAATGGTCCAAATTTTACAAGCATACTGTATTATTTCAACCGGTGTTCGTATAAACTGCACAAATCAGGTGGGCCAAGGGAAGAGAACGCCTGTGGTGTGTTCTAGTGGTACATCAAGCAGCATGAAAGAAAACATCGGAGCTGTGTATGGACAGAAACAGGTAACATTCTCTAAATCTGTCTTTTACATCTAACTTGTATCACTAAACGCTTGACTACCTGTTGCCAGCATGTGTAAATTTCACACTTGCTGCCTGTAGAAGTATAATATAATTTGCTCCCTTTGAGCCTGTTAAATATACCATTGGAAGCAATTTGTTATATCTGTTTGATAAGTGCAAAAACATACCTACAGGTATTCCTCACTTAACGACCGAGTTCCGTTCCTACGACCAGGTCGTTAAACGAATTGGTAATTAACTCTCTACAGTACTGTACTGCATTAGTACAGTACTGCATAGTGTTGCAGATGTACAGTACCGCACAGTGTACTGTACATCGGGCAATTAAAATATTTACCGGGACCCGCAGTGACGATCGGAGGACATCACTTCCGCCGGCGACGCGTCGCACTGACGCGCAAGGTCGGAGGTCACTCGGAGGACGGTCGTAAGTGCGAGTGGTCGCAAAGCAGGTACGTTGGTAACCGAGGATTATCTGTATTCATTTTGTCAGACTAGGGCTGTTCTTTGGCCTTTTCCTGTATTATCTCAAGGAAGGTTATTAACCTTCCTTGTTTTTATCATTGACTACAGAATGACTACCCTTTATGTTGTAGTGATCTGAGGGTGGGAGTGGTTGAGCAGCTTGGCAAGGTGGTAGCATGTGAGGGGGAACTTGAAGAGCAGGAGAGATGGTATCAGCCTGCAGGGACATACTGTATTAAGGGGATGACAGGGGACTCCCTCTGGCCAGCACAGTACCAGGGAGCACTCCAGTACCATACTTCACCAACTGCTGTCCCCCTGAAGGCACTGCTTAATGTAATGGCACTGCACTGTAATGTGTACCGGTAAATGGTACTTTACTGCGCTGTCCACTGTTGATGTCCCCACTTCTGCACCGCTGGTACCGCTGTCCCTGATGGCAAAGGAAGCCTGTTAAAAAGCAAGCCTGTGGCGGTGGAGGGAGCAGAGCGTATTAGCTGATACTTGCTCTATAGCGCCGGTTACTGTGACAGGCGGAGTAATAACAGATGCACTCCGTCTGTAAAAAGTGAAAGAAAGGGATCAGCATTACCGATACTGACCATTTTGTTGCGTGTCTTAAATTCCCTTTAACCAGTTACCACCAAGTGAGAGTGTTTGTGAAGATTATGGACTGAATCATGCAGGGCTACCAGATGGTTTTTACAAGTAAGTTTAGTCAAATTGCTGACCTAATTAAAAGGATTTTATTATCTTTTCACAGTTTAAAATATACAAGTAAAAGAGATCAGCTTTGAAGTGTATTTAAACCACAAAACAAAAATGTAATTTCTTTCTTGTCCATTGAGGGACACAGGCAGACTGTAACCTTCATGGATATACTGCTGCCTACAGGAGGATTGGACACTGGCAACCAAACAAATTGGAGCCCAGTCAAGGATATCCTCTCCCACTACCAGCAAGCCTTAGTGTTTTTCTTTTTTGCTAGTGTCCTGGAAAGTGGGGCAACTACAAATTAGGCATTGCAAAATTCTGACGGCCACAGGCATGACTCCCAGAGGCAAGAGGCATAATGAGATTTATAGTTCCACCACAGCTTGAGGGCTGGAGTTTGCGTTCCCCTGCTCTAGCCAAAGCAGTGGATGGCGTTGGTGGCTTTGTGGAATCAATACACCCTGATCTACTCCTTTCTTTGCAGGATTGAGATGGAAGGCAAATGTGGTGATCCTCATAGCTCTGGATTGACCCAGTTGGATGTGGTACTCCGATCTGATAAGATTCCTGGTGGACGTTCTGTTTCTCTCATTAACATTTGAATTCCGTTGCCAGGGTTGTAATCCTTTCACCCCTTGTTAGGACAGGCAGTGTTCAAATCTGTTTTACAACTCATAATGAAATCAGCCAGCACAGTACAGACAGGGCCAACAAACCACTTACAACCCCTCCTAACATTACAAAGAAGAAGCAATTAGAAATATTACCAAGCCAAGTAAAAGCCATTTAACCACTTGCCATCCGCCCAAAAAACGGACGGACAGCACAGTCACATTGGTGGGTTGCCGTAACTAGACGGGATTTTTTTTCTGCTTGCGTGCGCCCCCTAACGCGCACAGGCAGAAAAAACCCGTCTGATGTAAAGAGCCGTTACCGTTCACATACACACGATCAGCGGCTCTATAGCCGATCGTGTGTATGTGCTGGCTGTGTGACCCCCCCTCGAATGCCGCCGCCCCCCCTCCTGACCCCTCACCTTCAATCCAGGGATCCGCTGCCCCATCTGCGGGACCGGCTCGGGAGGGTGTCAGGAGGTAAGATGGGAGGGAGATCAGCATCTTCTTCCTTGCTGATCTCTCTCCGTGCTGTGAATGCAGAAGTAATGTGTATTACATCACTTCCGCATTCACCTGTCAGTCACCTGGCTGCTATTGCCAGAGAGAAGAAGCTGATGAAGCAGATCTCTGCTTTATCAGCTTCTTTTGGGGTCCCCAGGTGACATTAGGGGTCTTTGCTATTTGCATAGGGGGATTGTTATCCCCCTATGTAATAGCAATGACATTAAGTGTAAAAAAACATAAAAAGAGTAAAAAAATAAATAAAAGTCACATATAAAAAAAGTTTTTAAAAAAACCCCAAATTTTTTAAAGGACTCACCTCATAGTTCTAGCCGACCTGTGACAATGAGGATGTCAAAGGTCGGCTCAGTCGATCGGGAGGTGAGCGAACACATACCGGCGTACGCTCAACTCTCGATCCTGTCACAGCCGTGACAGGGGAGGGGCTGGATTCCCCCCTCCGATCTGCCAGCGCTGACTGGTGGATTGGACGGGAGAGGGGGCGGGTAGAGCTGGCTCTGCCTCTAGATAGGCAGAGCCAGCTGTCACTCACACAGCTGGGCGGATCCAGACATAATTGTCGGTATCCGCTTCAGCTGCGGCGTAGTAGCTCGCGGTGTACTGCGGCGTCTCAGTATATATATATATATATACTGAGCTTAGGGTGACGAGAGGACGCTAGTTCGTGTCGTGTGGATGGTTGAATTTCACTTCTGGCTGTTACATAGTTGCAGAGTGAGGTTGAAAACAGAACCCTATACCCACAGATGATCCAGAGATAGGCGGAAAAAAAGGTGATCAGTGCCTCCATCTCATTGGATGCATGTGCTTGTTTAGCTGACAATCTTTCGCCCGAACCTTTTCCATTGACAAAGATGAAGATGTCAGGCAGAGTAACAGACAAACTGAATTTTACTAAGTGAATGGCCAGGTTAAGTGTTGCAGAGCATTGGGAAATTTGCTCTCTGCAAATTAAGTATTACTATCTTTTCAGTATGTGCTTGTTATTTACAATTTCAAATAAATGATATTATGGTCACTGCTACCCAGATTCTCTTTAATATGAACATTTGTAATCTCCACTTTGTTTGAGGTTAATAGATACAGCACAGTATCATTTCTCTGCTGGCTATTGTATGGTGACAGCTGGATCCGCAGTTGTCGGAATACCCAAATTGTGATTGCAGCTCATTTGCTGTAGTCCCTGTTTGGCCAACTTTTTTTCGCCAAGCTCCCGGGCACTCCCCAGTTTTCTGTTTATAGTGGATCTGTTATCGTTTTGTTTTCTGTTGCCTACCTCTCAGTTGGGCTGCTTTTGGATGTCCTAGTGGTTACAGTCTTCCTGTGTCCCTCAATGGATGAGAAAGAAAATAGGCTTTTTATATTGAACATAAAATCCTTTTCTTGGAGTCCCTTAAGAGTCTCCTTTCTAATTATGCTTTGCTGCAGAACTGAGGCATGTTAGTAGTAGAAGGGTTATCCTTGGGCTGGTCTACAATTTTTTGTTTGCCATTGTCCAATCATTCTGTAGATTGCAGTATAACTTTAAAGGTTACAGTGTTCTGTGTTCCTCAGTGGACTTCAAGAAAAGGATTCTACGGTGAGTACAAAAATCCTATTGTAATGCAGCTTAGCAGTCCTTAGGTGTAGTGGCTGCATTGGTTTCCTTTTTTCAGGCTTTCTTTTTCCATTGTATCCACCTGGTGATCCTGCCAGTAGCACACTTGTGCTAGGGTGGCACAATCACAAACAAACTGCACTGTATCTATGGAGGAGCAAAGTTCTTACTCTCTGTTGCTCTTCTGATTCGGACTACAAACACACCCTGTCCATTAGATAGGCAGTTGGTGTTCTTTAGTTCCCAGAAGATAGCTGTGAAGGCTGATAAGATGTTTCAATATATCAGTCCAAGAGTGCAAGACTTCTGGCAAGATCAACAGGTATTTTTTTTGTACTTTGTATTTGTACATTTCATATGTAAACTGTGCATTATTGCACTCTTATCTCAGTGCATGTCTATACTCGGCTTGCATCCACATGACTGACTGAACACAAAACAGTTTGTAAGTGGCTTATCATGAGTTTGGTTTTTCTTTTGGCTAAAATGCTGATTGCACTGTTAACATATAAGTAGCTACTAGAAAGAAAATCTACAAACCTATATATGAATGCAGTCATTGAAAAAAAACATCATGTTTGTCTGGTTAACTTAATCATTATACCTCCAATATGTATGCCCTCTCATTTCACTTTTATATGTGTATATATAGCAATTGTTGTTAAATAATTTTGGATAGAGTAGGGAAGAAGTAGATCCCGACAGGATTGTATTGCTGTGTGTGTACTTGACAGGGAGATTTACCATTTTCTCAGTGATGGGAAATTGATATTTCAGAGTTATCACGAGAACATGAGATGATGGTAGATCTTCCAATGGGAGAGCTTTCTCCACTGACAACTGTCTAAGAGGGGAATTCCTCTTTGTCTTTGTACAAATTTCCTCTCACTTCCAGTTATGTCTCTGGAACAGAAAGTGAAGGGAAATCTCTGCAATCAGACACAGACAGCAGGAAGTAAGCTGACAAGGGTGTTAACCCTGTTTTTGTTATACACACACAAGATGGAGATAAACTTTTCAGACTACATAATGTAATATAGCTGAGGGCTTTCTTAAAAAACAGTGCACTCTGAAAGCATCATTGTTGGCATTTTATTTTAGTATAACAGGATATTTATCTGATTGTGATCATGGTGTGGGAAGAAGTGCAACAGACAGACAGTATTTCTTCATCAACCAACGGCCGTGTGATCCAGCTAAGGTAACCTGCTCTTGGTTGGGTTGGGGTAGGGATTTACATTGAATTGTATTTCTTACATCAGCTATGCAAGGAATGCCGAAAGTGACACTAAACTTAGGAGTTGAACCTTAAAAATGCATTCAAGTATATTATTAACAAAAATTTAGCCTATTTGTGTATCATTCAGCTGTAGACCCACAAGACATCTCTGAATTCGAGCTGTCCTGTCCTTCCTGTCTTCACTTCTGGAGGGTGGCTATGTTTGTCCCCCATGGTTCCTGTGTGTTTTGTAAAGTAGCCACCGTTTCAAGCTTGCTCCATTGATGGCCTACACTCTCACGTTAGCTGCTTTGTGATTGGATTGTAGTCCATCACAGGAGTGAGCTTGGAGCGGTGGCTACTTTACAACACACACAGGGACCATGGGGAACAAAAGTAGCCACCCACCAGAAGGAAGGACAGTGTCAGCACCAATTCAGAGATGATTTGAGGATCTACAGCTGAGTGATACACAAAAATATATATATATATATATTTATTTTACGCATAATGTATGTTTGTCCATTCCTTTTTGATAAGAACTTTTATGCAATCCACTCTCACTGATTCCCTGGGAAGGCGGTGCTCTATCAAAAGAACACCGGCTTCACTTCCTTAGGCTGCCTGGCTTGCTGATCAATCAGGAAACCGGGCAGCGGGTTATGACCTGCCTCCCAGCTTCAAGATTGGTCAGGAAGCCAGCTTCACTTGTTGCTAGGCAGCCTGGCTTCCTGACCAATCAGGAAGCTGGGCGGTGGGTCATCAGGTCAGGATGCCTAGCAACAGGTTAAGCTGGCTTCCTAGACAATCAGGCAGCCTGGAGGCAGGTCATTACCTCCCACCCGGCTTCCTGATTGGAAATGAAGCCGGCTCCATGCTCCCTCAGCGCTGCCGGTCAGACGGGGATCTACTCTGACCGGAAGTTCTGGTATTGGAGGTAAATATCAGAGCATTTGGGTGAGTACGAGTATTTGCCCAAATACTCGATATCTGCACCGATATTGGTATAGGTATCGATGCATCCCTAATATTTATCCATACATTTTTGCAAAATGGATGAATTTCTTCTTGTGAATTCTTCTGTAAATTTCTCTTTAATAACTTCTCTTACATACAACTTTTCTTTCTTTGATCAGGTTTCTAAAGTTGTGAACGAGGTATATCACACGTTCAACAGACATCAGTATCCATTTGTTGTTCTCAACATAAGTGTTAATTCTGGTGAGATGTTTTCATACTCTGCAGCCAATCCACTTAGTTTAGCAATACAGGATCTCTTTATTATACAGTCCTAGTTGTGTCCCCGTCCATTCCTATTTAATTACAGATATTATAAAAAAAATTCTCTTAGCTCCGCAGTTCTTAGATCAAACATTCTATTAGTTAGAAAATGAAGCATAGCTTCTTACCCCTGTCTTCTGCCCACAGCAGTGAGATCCTGGAAAATAGAGAGCGGCCCAAATCTCAAGAGAACTTTCTCTTGTAATGGAAGCATCTTCTCAAGATTCGGTGAACTCGTTGTTCCCCAGGAGCCTTAATAGAGGGCTGGTGGCATGTGGCGGGATTTGGCATAATGCTCGGCAAGTTATATATATTAAAGTTCAAAACATGCCGCACTCCATAGGATCTTGTCCAGAAAATAAGTCTTCATTTAAGAGCAATGAATACACTGTCCATATCTCTCTTCCTCGATCCTCAACCCATAGAGCAGTGATGGCGAACCTATGGCACGCGTGCCAAAGATAAATAAATTGATTTTGCGTCGCAGTTTGGGCACTCGGGTTCAAAAAGGTTCGCCATCACTGCCATAGAGGTTCTGAAGGTTGAAGACTTCCTGTGTCCTTCAATGGATGAAAAAGAAAATAGGATTCTTGTACTCACCGCAAAATCCTTTTCTTGGAGTCCATTGAGGGACACAGGTCTCACCCCTCAGTGCTTATGATTATGCTCTCTGTACTGCTTTGCTACAAAACCGAGGCATGCAGGTAGTGGGAGGGGTTATCCTGGGCTGGTCTACTGTTTTGTTTTTTTAGTTGGTCAGTGTCTTAATCCTCCTGTAAGTGATAGTATAACCAGAATGTTTAAGACTTCCTGTGTCCCATAATGGACTCCAAAAAAGGATTTTATGATGAGTACAAAATTCCTGTTTTATGTTATTTATACTTGTAAAATACAAACGTACTTACTATTTTATGCATGTGCAGATTGGTGGTCACCCCTTTGATCTGCATATGAATTATATAGTTTATACAATGTAACAACAACACAGGAGTGGCTGCACTTTCAGTAATAGCAGCAGAAGAAGCATGGGCAGGGGAATAGGAGCTGAATGTGGGAGATATTTCATAGAAAGTTTGTTGAAGTTTTTTTTAGGATGCATCTCTTAACTTCATCTCTTAACGATGTTCTTTATCAAGATGAGGCAGTGTATTTATTTTACACATATCCATTCCTTTTTGGTAAGAACTTTTATGCAATCCACTTTCACTGATGCTGAGATATCGCCCCTTGCTGCTTGTTGATCACCCTCTATTGTAGCAGTGAGCTTTGCATACAGGCTTATTCAATAAAGCAGTGCAAAGAGCATAAGGTGATGTCCTAGTCCCGGTGTTGCTTTCTGGATGTGGTATGCCATAATTTGAAGTTTGTGTCCCCTTTATCAGAGCTACAAATAACATATAAGATGTAATCTATAAACAATATATATGTACATTGTATCAAATATTATATAAAATTATGAAATACTGTATCAAAATTACATGTAAAATTAGTAATAACGAAAGTAATATTTTGTGCAAACATTAACTGAAATAATATATTTAGGTAATAATATTATATAACAATACAAAATAATAAATGAACAACATAAAAAGTATGTTTATCTGTATACATGGTTACCTAAAAGGCGTCAGTAAAAATGCATTATACCTGTGTATATGAACATAGATAATTTTTCATAATTTAACGATTGTTGTATGTGAGAGAAGAAGTAATACTTTGTTTGTATGGAACTGGTGTTCCTGAGACCTCTTAGGTAAACATATATTCAGATATACACAGTTTTTATGTTGTATTAACTTATTGTTCTCTATTACCTGTATTCTTTAATTTTATTGTTTAATATTATTGTAATTTGTACTAATTTTGCATATTGAGTTCAGATTTGTCATATTTTTATATTTTATTTGATAATATGGACATTATATACTTGTATTATATTTTATATGGCAAATTATATGCTTAAAGGAGAACTATGGGGTCAGGGCTTTTCCGCATAGTTCTCCTAAGGGTCACGGGAGAACACAAACTAGCGTTCTCCCGTGACCTCGCAGTATACTGAGATGCCACAGCCGGGACGGATCCCGACAATACTATCTGGATCCACCCAGCTGCCGGATTGACAGCTGGCTCTGCCTATCCAGAGGCAGAGCCAGCTGTGCCCGCCCCCTCCCCCGTCCGTTTCGCCAGTCAGTGCTGGAGGATCGGACAGGGGAGGGGGGAATCCCTGCAGGGAGCAGTGAGTGACAGTCACGGCTCTCTGCAGGGATAGATCGAGAAGTGAGCGAGCGATGGTATGTGTTCGCTCACTTCCCGATCTACTGAGCCGACCTGTGAGAGTTTCATTGTCACAGGTCGGCTCTGATTATGAGGCTGAGTGAAAATCATTCGCCTCATAATTCTCCTTTTAATTATAGCCCAGATGAAGTTAAACACTGTAATTGCCCTATAAACACATCAAGTTGGATCTTACTCACTTTTTGTTAACTTTTTATTTAGTTTCTTCTGACTTGTTGCCCTGTAATATATCTTTACCTCTACTTACAGCAAAACAAACCTAAAAGCTGTTCTGCCCACTGTAAAATCTAGGAAAAATTAAGAAAGCAAACCGTGTATTAAGTAATATACATTTTGGAATACTTGTGTAAGGGGCATATAACTCATGCTATTTTGTCTTTGTCAGACGCAGCATAAAAAAGTAGTCAAGAGTTACATGTGACACACAAACTACTGATAGGTGACCACCAAGTGTTGTAGAATTTCTGTACTAATATACACTCTGCTAGTTTTACCAGTTAAATGTTTGTTGCTATGCGTACAGTTTTCGCAAACTGATCTGTTTTAAATTTCACTTTTCCTCTTTTCATTCTACAGAATGTGTTGATATCAATGTCACCCCAGACAAAAGGCAAATTCTCCTGCAGGAAGAGAAGCTTTTGCTGGCAATATTAAAGACCTCGCTTCTGGCTATGTACAGTGGCAATGTGAATAAATTAAATCTGAATAATTCGTTGATGGATGCCACAGGTCTGTGAATCATGTTATTTCTAGAATGTGCAAAAATCATTGGCTGCTAGGTTTATAGTGCCACTTAAAGGGATTTAATATATGTAAAGATGGCAATGAAAATAATTTTGACAACTGTTTGCAGGATTCATTTACATAGGAGCCGATGTCTGAGCTCCTGCAAAGCAGTTCAGTGGTTTCACTGGATAGTGCAGTTTGTAGCTGGACATGCAAACGCAATGAACTTAGATACAGTTTTTTGGGGAGTATCCTCAAGTGATTAAGTTATACTGAGCTGCTATAATTTGATTTGGGCAGAGCTAAGATATTGAGGTATCCTGGCCTGCAAAAATTACAGCCTTGGATTGTGGTCATTTAAGAAACTTGGTTAGATGTGACCACATGGTTTGCAGAACTGAGAGATCTGATATTCAGAATCATTGCTGGGATAAAAAGAAGAGGTGTTGTACAGATCTGCTTTGTTGTCATTATATATATTCAATTGGCATAGTACCAGATAGACTCTGCCCAACTGGAGGAAACACAAGCACAGAGAGGTTGAAACCCCCTCTAGCAGCTCCCACTCCCATTTCTTGCATTTCCTGTGCCACCTGCAGACACACATGAAGATGCATTCTTACCAAGCTGACATGAGCTTGTAGTTGCTGCATGTCAAGTGCCGGTCCTGAAAGTGAAGCAATGTGAGATTGCACTCACAAAGTCAGATAGAAGTGACATTTCGGGACTGATCAGCTGTTCCAGGACAGATCGGTTTTCCTGTACATACGATCTGCGATGCCGATTTGCCCTGGAACAACTGGAATTCTTCACCTTTTGCCAGTCACATATTTTACCACAGGAAAGGTGGGCGTGATTACATTAAATGTGTGACCACGTGACCGGTCACACATTCCACCACTGAAAAACTGGGTGGGATTAGGTTAAAATGTGTGACCACGTCACCATATGCAGATCCCCTTTTTCCGATGGGACGTGTGTGCAGTCCCTCACTGTTTACATTATACTTTGATGCTGTCGGGCTTTCCTTTACATTTTTTCAGGCCAAAGCACCAAATTAATCTGTTTCTAGCACCAGACCCAAGCAGAAATATGGTGCATGTCAAGTTATCAAATTTTTCACCTCCAAACCTCTTTTACTTCAGGATTTCATGGGTAATCTTAGAAGGGAAAGGTCTTCCACTTTTCAGTCATCTAAATCGGTGTTAGAAAATGTTAAGCAACCTTTGCAAGCAGCAGCAGCCAAATAATCTGATAGTCAAGGCAGTGCTAGAGGACTGGTTTCTTCTGATTCCAAATGGGAAGAAGGAGAGGAAACTCATTCTAATAATTCTGAGGTCAAGAGTAAAGAGCGCACAAATGGTTTGCAGGTTAAAGTCCCCAAATGAATATGTTTCCTGCAAAAAAAAAAAGGAGAAGTTATTGAAAACTGTCTATACTACGGAACTAATCCAGGCTATGGCTACATCTAAATCCTTGTAATGTATTTGTGTATCACTCAGTTGTAGATCTGTGTTTTTGAAGTAGCCACTGCTCTAAGCCTACTCCCGCGATGGACTCCAATCTCATGTTTATTTTACTAATTTGTATTGAGATTGTAGTCTATCACGGGAGTGAGTTTGGGGTGGTGGCTACTTTACAACAAACACACAGACCATAGGGAACAAAAGTAGCCACCCTCCAGGAGGAAGGACAGTGTCATCATGAATTCAGAGATGATTTGAATGATCTACTGCCGAGTGATGATCGGAATCATGATCGGAAAGCCAAAGTGTTTCAGGGGCCTATATCCCCTTCATCAAATTTAGAAGTCCAAAAACCATGACATCTAAAACATTCCCATTTAGACATATAGAAAGAAAGAGAAGTCATAAATGTAGCCAGATTATAAACATCTAAACATTTTATTAAATCATTAATATGCAATATCAACCAAATTAGATGATGAGAGAAAAGTAAATGATCAAATATATTGTGAAATGAATGAAAATGTACAATTCTTAAAATAGGCACTGCAAGTCCTTAAAGTAGAATTAAAGTCTCCTCTTTTTTTTTTGGCATATATCTACTGCTAGCAATCGGTAGATACATGCCACAAAAAAAGTGGCCAAATATGAAATACTTAGATATGCCTGCGCCGCTTGCTCCCAGCTACAGAACACAGATCTGTATGGCTGTGCTGGAGGTGGGCGGGAGCATGCGCAGTCCATATCACCGGCGGGGAGAAGAGGAGAGACTCTGGAAGTCAATGCACGCATTCGTAAATGTGCACGCCGGACAGACACCATGGGACAGGAAGAGACAGCAGTATGCGCTGGAAGGAATGCTGGAAACGAGTGGAAGAAAGAAGACGATCGCATCAAGAGGCATCACATAAGGTAAGTATTAAAAGCAGAATTAGAATGGGTAAAAAAAAAAAAAATGTGACTTTAATGTCACTTTAAAATAGGCACTGCAAGCCCTTAAAATCCATTATGTGTTATCATAATTATAATATTCATTTAAATAAGCTGTTACATGGACCAAAAATCGCCAAAAAAGGTGCACAAACCATGTTTGTCTGCACCTCAATGCGATGTAATTCTGCACTATTTAAGCATTCTCTATGGCATATAATAAAATATATAGTTGCCATTTTTATAATTATGTATGGTTGCATATATTTGTTTTCATGGGCTTTTGATGGCACACATTAATATTTATATAGCATTGGCTTTCTGTACACATCTAAAATATAACTAAAGGTAAAACCTTTTTTTTTTTTTCTTCATTTGGAGAGGTGAGAAGTTAGAACCATGGTCAGGTTTGTATTGCTGCCTGCCCTCTAATTTTCCTGCTCACCAATGTCACAGTGAATAAAAGGGTATATCCAAAATGTTGTGATTCCATTAGAACAAGAAGAGAGGCAAAATCTTCCAATGGGAAAACTTGTTCCCATGGCAGCTGTCCAAGAGGGGGTTCTCTCACATTGGTTAGATATTCCTCACTTCCTGTTGAGTCCACTGGTCAGGAAGTCATGGGAAATCTCCCTAATGAGACACAAACTAAAAAAAAAAAACTGACGGCGGTTTTGACTCTCACTTACCATATGCAAAATGAAAAGGTTTGGCTTTAGATTATACTGAAGAGTAGAGCATTGAGCATTCACCATTATCAAATCACATTGTACCTCTTTGCCCTTGTTGGAATCAGGTACTTGCCCCTCTTGTTTACTTCCTTTTCTGACATGTATCCTACCTAGTACTCAAAGATTCTTGTGTCTACAGTTTGAAGTGAGCCACCTTGAGATTTGCATTTTCATCAACCTTTGGTCTGTGGCCGAGCCTGTCCCTTTTCCATATCTGTGGCTAATAATGATATTGTACCTGTACTTGAGAATGGCATTTGGTGGGGCTTAGCCCTCAAGTGAAAATCCTTGGTACAAAGTGAAAGTAGTTTAAGATAGGCCTATAGGGAAGGGTTTCCTGGCGTATAAAGTTAGAAGCAGGCATTTTGTGAATTCCTATGCAGTCATTTATTTTTAATAGATTAAAATGACTCGCATGTTCTCTTTAAAGACTGCTAAGAAGTCCTTGTGCCCATATTTTAACTACACCAGTTTGGTTTCATGAAGGAATAACAGATGCAGTTTAAATGGCATGTCCTGTTTCAAAGTAGCATCCAATTATCAGTTTATTGACAAGCCAAGAAAACCAGTAACCATTTGCTGCAGTTCTTGGCTTACGTTAAGATGCAGACAAAAGAGAATAAAAAATACCATAAGGTTAAAGAATACATTTGAATATTTATGAAAATAAATCCTCTAATTTTCTTCTGTCAATATGTCACCCTTTTCTTACAGATTTTTCTCTGTGTTGTATTGTTTTATGTTCCAGATCTTAATATTGTTTTAGGTCCAGTTTTACTATATACTGCATTGTTACAGAACAGTAATTGAGAGTCTCTCAAGCAAATCAAAGTATAAAAGGCATAAATTCCTGTATGCACTCACTGGTTGAATGTTTAGGATAGAATTGAGGATAGAATATATTTGTTTTTAAAAAAAAAGGTAGTGTATCATGAGGAAACGTCCCTTTTTAATAATGTTAGTTGTGTGGCTTTCATGCTGATTCAGATAGTTTGACCCAGAAGAAGCATGCAGGTCATAAGTTTAGACTTTACTCTTCTTCAAGCTGCTGGCACCACTCCGTTCGACAAAATTACATTTTCAATAGCCCTTTTTTGAAGGAGTCGGGCCAATAACTGTCAGCTGTCAGCTAATCAGCAGAAGTCACTGTTTGGGTATTCTGGCAGCTGCAGGCGCTGGCTGTCAGAATACAATAGCCTGGCAGGGGAGATTGCCCCATCCATGCTGTTTAATGTGGATGGGGGTAATGAAACCTTTTTTTTTCTCCTTCATCCTACAAGTATGGCCAGCATTACATGCTATAATATTTTGTCCTGGACCAGTAACTTACAGATTCAAAGCCAGGAAACTAGCTTTCTCATAAGGAGCAATGACAACCTACATAAATCTCTCAGTTTAGCTTTCTTTAAAGATGAAGCAAAATAATTAACAAAATGTTATTTATGATAGGGGTGTCTTACATAAGGAAAAGCAGAGAACTTGCATATGTGGAGAAGCATTTTAAATATTTTATAGTTGTAAAATTAATTTCCATTTAAGAACACTCATTTGGAACTGTAGTCAGCATTGAAAAGCCCAGCCTCTCTGAAATGTGTAAGCAAACTAATAACTGGTGTTTGTGAAAGCTCCTGTCAGTTGGCTGCATGTAAAACTCAACATCTTTGTTTCAGTTTTTGGAAATAAGCCTCTATGTCTTTTAAGGTAAAGGTGTTTCCTATAGCAACTAGTTCAGCTGGCTGTAGCCTAGTGCAGGTTAGGAAATTAAACCTTATTTGATGTTGTTTTAGAACCAGACCGTTTTTTCCCCCCAAGTTTTAATAATTGAACTACAGTTAGCAGACTTCTGGTATACTAGTTAAAGGAGCATTATAGGGAGAGTGAAATACACTCATCCCCATAGTTAGAGGTGATGTGAGACATTGCAGCTGTCACATGCTGGCCACTCTTTCCACTGTTATTTGAGTATATATATGAACTCAATTTACATATTTTTTAAAACTTTTTGTTTGTAGGGAATTTCAGAAAATTTAGTACAGAAGCAACTAATGGAGGTACAGAGCAAAAGGTATCAGACAGAGGGGCGCTTGTTGTTTCCAAGCTTAGAGAGGCTTATTCTCTCAATCAGAAATCATCATTTGGATCACCACAAAAAACACTGGATAAAGTCCAAAAATCTTCTCCCGGTCAGAGAACGCTTCAGTCCTTTAACTTTTCTACAAAAAGCCAAACTTGTGCCTTCAAAACAACATCACCTGTATGTGATAATAAAGAAGAACCAGCATCCCCAAACTCTTCTCATGAAGTTCCTTGTGTCAAAAATGATTATGATTCTGGCAAGGGAACCATTAGTAGCTCAGATAGTGAGGGAGGCCTTAAGACTCCTGATTTCTCCATCAACCTTACTAGTGAATGTCCAAAAAGTTCCCCAGGGACGCTATTGAAAATGGAGAAGATGGAGGCATTTCATGATCCACAGCCTCTTCTTGAAAGGGAGGTGATATTTAACCATCTTGTCCAAAAGGAGGAAATAAACAAGGGTTCTACTCCAGACTGTAAGCGTATGAAAACAGAGACTGAAAACACTTCAGCTACTGAAAAATTACAAATTGATTCCATCGATGCGCCAGTGAAAGTTATTAAGAGGATGGTGCCATTAAATTTTTCAATGTGTCGCCTGGCCAAGAGAATGGAAAATTTGAAACAACAATGTCAACAGAAGGAGGCGTCTGAATTGTTCCGCAGATTCAGAGCAAAGATCAGTCCAGGGGAAAACCAGGCTGCAGAGGACGAACTCCAAAAAGAGATCAGGTAACTCCATGGAAGTGGAACCATGGTCAAGCACATTTTTGCTTATTTACCCTTAGTTTACACTTTGGTATCCATCATAATTTATGTTTGTTTTTTGGAATTTCAAAATTATTTTAAGGTCTATTTATTGAGTTAACGTAGGGGACATACAGCAAGAAAAGGATACAACTACAATATTTTATCTCCTAACTCATTTTGTGAAAACTGTTGCTTCACATTCCAATATTCAGCAGTTGATCTTTTTTATAAAAATTAGATAAATGTAGCTTGCACAATTTATACACACCCCTCCCAATAAATACTAGTGCTTTACACAACCATAGGTACATTTTGAAAACTGCTGTACTCTCCAGTAATCTTTAAATCAAGAGAAGGTAAGTATTTGTCTTCATACTTATCAGCTACTTGATTTGTTTTCTTTGGAAATCCTACCTAATCCAGAGGGGAAAAAAACTAAATGAAAAAAATTATAATTAAAATCAAAAAACTAGATTTTTTTTATTGCAAGGGCTATTTGGGGAGGGTGGGTGAGATGGGTCATGAAGGGATTTACAAAGCTAGAGTTCAGCTTTAGGGACCATTTAGACATCAGTGTATGCCTCCAAGTGCATTGAACTGCCATTCATTTTGAATAGCACCCCCACGTTCTATACACTAGTTTAGCAACTCCTCAAAACGCTACTTAAAAAAAAAGTGGCATGTGCATCATTGCAAATTTTATTTGTATATGGTTGACACATTTATTAGAGAATTATGTTTGTGATTTAGTTTTTCAATGCCTCTAGTTCAACTGCAGGTTATGGTTTTTTTAATTATTTAATTTTCTTTTTTTACTCTATTGACAAGTTTCTTAGTTCAATATCAATACCGATGTTCTTATAAAGAAAAAAAATTAAGACCTATTGTCGCACAAATGCATTTTTTTTTTTTTACTTTCAGAAAAGACATGTTTGCAAATATGGAAATCATTGGCCAGTTTAATCTGGGATTCATAATAACCAAGCTGGACTCAGACCTTTTCATCATTGACCAGCATGCAACTGATGAAAAGTACAACTTTGAGATGTTACAGCAGAACACTGTGTTACAAGGTCAAAGGCTTATCATGTAAGTAGAACATCCATAGGAAATAGAAAATGATGTTCATAGCAGAAATGCCATCTTAACAGCGATTGCTATACTAATATCTGATTTTTGCATTTACCTATAACTGTTGATCTAAGGAACTGATGCTTCAGAGCATTTTTTTTCCATTCAGTACTGTTTGGTGTTCAGTGCCATATTCAATCCCTTTCTGACTATCTACAGTTGATATACGTGGAGTCAGTTACTCCATGTTAGAAAACCACTGACATGTTCCTTTTGCCCATTCTGACGTGACGTCATAGATGGTGGTCTGTCACTGAAACCTTTTGAAGCTAAAACATTATCCATATTTGATGTAACTGATATGCAAGTGTAAGTCTTCTGGCATAGCTGTCAGTGTGCCAATTGCCCCCACCCAAATGTTTCCCAAACCTTCATAGGTTTGGGAGGACACATTAATGTACAATTTAAATGATCAGGCCTTGGAGCCATAGGACAGCTTTAATAACCAATAAAACATGTACTTTAATCCCTTAGTGACACAGCTGCAGAAATGTTCTTCATTCCTGGGGACCGGAGCAATTTTGTCATTTTTGCTATGTGTTTGTTTAACCATAATTTCCATCTTCCTCGTTCATTGTGCCTACACATATTATATACCTTTTTTTAAAGGACAAAATGGGCTTTAATTTGATATACATATGTAAAGTCTTATTTTTCTATTTAATAAAATAAATGTGTATATAATTCATATTGCTAACCTTAATTAATTCATTAAAAAAATATTTTATTTGTCCTGATTTATAGGGTATATCATATGTGTGGGATTTCAGTCTCCCCAGCAGAGGCACAAATAGCAATAAAAACTTTACAAAGTATCTAACCTTTCCTTAAATAAATAAAAAATTTGCCTTTAAATATACTTTAATGCTTTACTATATCAAACTAATCCTGTGTTTGTTTCTGCTTTCCCAGACCTCAGAAACTAAACTTAACCGCAGTCAATGAGTCTATTCTCATGGACAACCTGGAAATATTCAAGAAAAACGGGTTTGATTTTACCTTTGATGAGGATGGTATGTGTTAAGAAATTGTCGGCAAACTCTTGTCAATGACACTGGACTTTGCCTATATATTATATGCAGGCAGTAAAAACTGATTTGGGTTTTGCGCAATAAAACATTAAAGTGCCAATAAAAAGGCATCTGCACCCAAAGCACTTTCCTCCATTTTGGAGGTAGTGGGGTGGAGCTCAGAACTCTCTCTTTTATTCGCCATTCTTTCTCAACTGTTCTTTTACTTGTAGTAAGGGTACAGAAATGAATAATCAGAAGCGCGAAGCAACCTTTCATACATATGCATGTGTACATACAGCAGGGCTCGACAAATCCCAGGCACCAGGTCACTATGGCGACTAGAAATTGGGTCCTGGCGCCTGGGCTTTTGTCAGCCCTTTTGGTTTCCCCTGCTGCCGCCTCCTCTGCATCAATTCTGCTCCCCCGTTCTCCCCACTAGGAGCCCGCTGCATGCTGCGATCTCTATCCCAGGGAGGAGAGACCACTGTCAGCCGATGTGACTCTGCATTCCCCTCCACCGAGCTGTGCCCCACCGTGCCCTGTCCCGTTGTGCTGTGCCCTGTCCTGCTGTGCTGTACCCATCCATGCCGTGCTCCAATGTGCTTTGCCGGGCCCGCGTTCCTCAGTAGAGAAGCCGGACCTGAAGGAGAACTTTCTCCTTCAGGTCCGCTCCTCTGCTGATTGACAGCAGGCAGTGGGCAGGTTTTATAGCTAGTCTGCTATTGGCTATTCCAATTTGAAACACTGCCTGCTGTGTTTACGTTCAGCTGCCTCAGCAGGCACCTGGCATTCCCCAGCTAAAGCTATTGAAGCGGAAAGGTGACACTAGGGGTCTAATAGATCCCTAATGTCACCTTAAAGAGAACCCGCAAAAAATAAATGTAAAGTCTCCTGCCACCAAGAACGTGCGCATACTAACGGAAACACAAGTCAGGTGCACCCACGCATGAAAACGATTGTGCTACACATGTCAGTTATTGACGCGTGCGCCAATTAAAACTAATTGAAAATTACAACTGTCATTGAAAATAAAGCTTTTACATTTTTAGTTTAAAAAAAAAAAACCTAACTTCTAACATTTTTAGCTGGCTCCTAGATTCAAAACAAGATGTCAAGACCTGACATACACTAAACATTTCTAAAGCAGAAGGCCAGGAAACTATGAAAACATGGATGAGGGAGTTGCAGAAATGTTTATTTCTCTTTTATTCATTAAAGCACACAACTCTGCTTTAGACAGTACGCTGGATACGACTGGATATGACTAAAAAACAAAACGCAACCCAATGGGAGCCTCTGCTTCTGGCCAAAACCCCTCACACTGTAAAACAATCTAAGGTATTAAGCTGCCCGTACTCTATCTGAATCTTAATCGAGTCTTGCTGAACGAAATTTGAGCCTTGTACCCATTTGAGGAGGATTTTGTTAATAAGTGGGCTACCCCCTCTGTGGATCAGTCAGTTTCCTGTCTTAAAAAAGCTTTGACCATCCCTGTGGAGGATGCACCTGTTTTCAAGAACCCCATCAACAAAAGTCTGGAGGCACATTTTAGTACCCTTTTCTTCTGATCTTTGCCTCTCAAACTAGATGATTGGAATAAGGCCATTAGAAGGGACCTTCTATTTACTATGGCAGTTGATCCCTTGATCAGAAAGCTCTTTGAGCTTATGCCTGCAGCCTTGAACTATGTTGTAAATGGGTTGTTTGAGGTTTCTTGCCTCATCACCCATATAAGTCTCCTGTAAGTGACGATGAGGAGGACTCTTTGACTGAAGTGTTTTGTTGCAGAACCCACATGCAAGAAGCAACACAACACCTCTTTGGTGTTTCTCTAGATACCCGTATCAAGGATGTTACCCAGGCAAGAGTACCCATGTTCCCCAGAAAAAGAAGCCTAGGGCTCAATCTGGGAAGACTCGCCCCTCGTTGGAGGCCAAGAACCCTGTACTTCCAAGTTCCCCAAAAACTGGGATAAATCTTATTTTGTCATGAGGGGGTGCCCCCACGTACAAAAGTGGGGGGAACGTCTGTTAGCCTTTGAGTTAGATAAATAGAGGAGCCCTCCGCACACCTCACAGCAGTCCCGGCCAATAAGCAAAAATGGTGCTCGCAGTGATGTTTTACTACGGATAGCGCCGTGCAGACACAGGAAAAGACGCAAATCACCAGCACTCAATAATGAAGATAAATATGTCCCTTTTATTGGACAAAAGCGTCACAGACATCCAAATAAGCCGACGTTTCGGGGCTGCGCAGGGTCCCTTCCTCAAGGTAGAAAGACGTCACGTCTTTCTGCCTTGAGGAAGGGACCCTGCAGCCCCAAAATGTTCCCTTTTTTGGATGTCTGTGACGCTTTTGTCCAATAAAAGGGACATATTTATCTTCATTATCGAGTGCTGGTAATTTGCTTCTTTTCCTGTTAGCCTTTGAGGACATATCGCGGACACATGGCTGCGGGAGATGGTTTCCAGGGGCTACAAGCTAGAATTTTGCTCCAAACCCCTCTTCTGTTCATTACTTCCAACCTGCCTGGGTTGGTGCACAGGAAAGCAGATCTCAATGCTGCGCTTATGGATCCTCTGGAACAGGGCAAAGGGTTAAAAAGCAGGGTGTCTTTTCCCTGGTACCTTTGGTGAAATAGTTCCGGTTCTACTTGAGCCTGTTCAAAGTTCACAAACCCAAAGGGGGCATGTGCCCCATCTTGGATCTCAAGCTCCTAAATGTTTTAATATGGGCTCAGAAATTCTGGATGGAATCCACCAGGCCAGTCAAACCCTACCTTCATCAGGGAGACTTTCTGGCCTCTGTGGACATCAAGGACCTGTAAGCACCCATATTTCTAGCACATCAGCATTTCCTTCACTTTGTTGTGGGTCTCTAGCATTTCCAGTTTGTGCCCCTGATATAAAGCCTTTGACTTTAACAACATGGCTGTTGAAGCCCAAGACTTGAAAGATAGAGGCATCTCTGAATTGAGTACCCTCATAATGCTAAAAGTCTACTATCGCACATTTTCTGTAGAATGAATCCTGACGTTTCTGCAGATGAGCCTGGATCAGCAGTTGACCTTTATTATTATCCAGAGTGAGGTCTCTTCACTTCCAATCATGTTCCAGAGACTGCTGGCTTCCCCTTCCTTGCTCAAGGGGGACTCCCATGTGGCTCCATCGTGCACTTCCCCATGAATTTGAGGAATCTCACTTTTCAATTTCTCTGTGCTGCAAAAGCTGTTTCGAACCTGTCAGGAATATTACTCTCTGCAACCCACATCCACATGTTTGCATTCCTTGTTACCTCTGCTAGGTAAGTGTCTGAGCTGGCGGCCTTGTCCTAGAAAGAACCCTTTTTAATCTTTCACAGCGACAAGGTGGTGTTGGGGCCCAGAACTTTCTTCCAACCCAAAGTAGCCTCAGCCTTTCACCTCAAACAGGAAATCATTCTCCTGCTGGCTCCAGTTCATCAGAAGGAGATCTTCCTATGCTGTCTGAAAGTAGTTCATGCTGTACAAGTTTACCTCACACACACTTTTTTTTTTTTTTTTTAGGAAGACTGACTCTTTCTTTGTCATTCCTGAGGATCCCCATAAGGGAGAACCTGATTCTCGTTCTATTATTTCTTGGTGGCTCAGACAAACTTCAAGCTTATGGTTGGTCTTACGGATCTGGTTCCACCCTTTCGTTCAAGGATCACTTCACTAGATCTTTGAGCACTTTGTTTTGCATCAGGCTACATTTGTAGCCTTACATCAGATTTGTAAGGCTGCCTTCTGGTCTTCTGTTCGCATGTTTTCTAACTTTACATAGTTACTCAGGTTGAAAAAAGACACGTCCATCGAGTTCAACCTACAGAGATATATTTTAAAAAAAAGCCTAAACGGAATGCTATTTCCCACAATTACCCACTATTGATCCAGAGGAAGGCAAAACCCCCCCCCCCCCCCCCCACACACACACACAAAGCATGGTTCAACTTGCTCCAACAGGGGGGAAAAAATTCCTTCCTGATCCTATAAGGCAATCGGATATTCCCAGGATTAACAGTATATGATGCTTAATATACCTATAAGAACTCAATATCCAGTAATATTCTGTGCATTTAGGAATACATCCAGATTTGTTTTAAAACCGTTAACTAACTAGAAAATGTGGAACTAGCTCCTGGGGGAGTCTGTTCCACATTTTCACAGCTCTAACTGAAGAATCCTTTTCCATTTGTAAAGGTTAAACCTCTTTTCCTCCAGATGCAAAGAGTGTCCTTTGCAGTGACCTTAAAGTGAATAATTTGGCACCAAGCTCACTATATGGACCATTTATGTATCTATACGTGGTGATCATGTCCCCCCTTAATCGCCTCTTCTCGCACCAGCTGGATGTTCTTGCCACATCTTGTGCCATCTTCGGATGTAAGGTCTTTTAGGCAGTTCTTTGAGCTGAGGTGGTCTCCATTTATGTTGGGTTTTTTTGTGGGCCTGTTAATGTGTTGTTGCTGCTGCCCACCCACTCAGTTGGACTGCTTTTTGATGTCCTGACAGTCTCAGAATTCTGAGTCCCTTAATAAACGAGAAAGAAAATGGTACTTTTGTACTTGAAGTTCATTGAGGTATAAAGGTCCTACCCCCCTATGTTTTATGATAGTGTACTTGGTACTGTTTTCCACAAAATGGAGGCATACTTGGAAGTAGGGGGGGTTATGCTGGGGTGGCCACAATTTTTGTTTGCACATCCTCCTGTAGGTGGCAATATAACCTGAAAGTCATTAAATTCCTGTGTCCTTAAATGAACTCCAAGAAATGGATTTTACGGTACAAAAATCTAATTTTCTCAGCTGCAGACAAGTGAGAAACATATGTGGTTCCCTTGCCCTGTGGCCTCAAAGGACCCCGAACTGGAGACTTCCCAGTTAGTGGTCACAGTCTCTGCATCTATTGAGTATCCACGTCCTCGGGAGCAACATCGTCCGCCTCAGTTTTGCGACACGGCCCCCACCCTGCAGACAAATCATAGATCGCATAGATCCTTAGCAGCAGTCATTACCGTACCAGTCCCTCAGCCAGGTGGGCAGACATCGCTTTACAAGCTCTCCAGAATTCTGCCCACTTCTCCCACGTGATCGGCCCTCAGCCTGCTACTGCGCATGCACAGGATTTCTGAATGAGCGCTGTGTAGTCTGCGCAGTAGCAGGCTGAGGGCCGATCACGTGGGCCCTGTACACACAGGAGACCTGGGCAGATCCGAGAGATCTTGGAGAGCGGTTTCTGTCCAGCTGGCCGAGGGACTGGTACGGTAATGACTGCTGCTAAGGATCTATGTGAGTTGAATGAAGTGCCTGCAGGTTGGGGGTCGTGTCACCATATTGTCAGATCTGTTTGGCCGGCCTTGATGCCGATTGGCTGGGAAGCTGGCTTCACAGTCAATCAGCATCGAGTCGGGTCAAACAGAATGGAGTCAGCTTCCCAGGCAATGAAGAAGCCGGGCGGTGGGTAATGACACGCCGTCTGGCTTCCTGATTGCCTGGGAAGCCGGCTCTATGCTACCGGAAGTATCGGTACTCGATACCGAAAAATCGGTATTGATGCATCCCTAGTGGAAACAATAGCTTGTTTTTTGTAACGCTTTAGATAAAATCAAACTCATGCGGTCAGTTTTTTTAAATAATGATTTTGACAGTTTTGGGCTGTATATACTCGGCAGTATGTTAAATCATTCCTGTGATTGTTTTTCAGCTCCAATCATGGAAAGAGTCAAGTTAGTTTCTTTGCCTACAAGTAAAAACTGGACATTTGGCCCACAGGACATAGAGGAACTCATATTTATGCTGAGTGACTCCCCGGGAGTGATGTGCAGACCCTCTCGTGTTAGGCAGATGTTTGCTTCTCGAGCATGCAGAAAGTCTGTAAGTTTAAAACAAGTGCACTCTTCTAACCATCAGCATTCATGGGCTCACAAATGTATAAACATTTAATCCAAGATGCATGTGTGCCACAGGATTCCCCAGAAGAAGATTTTTATAAGTAAATCTGTCCGTACCATAAAGGTGTTGGATAGACTTTTGCAGTTCAATGTATCATTAGCCTTCCAGCACCCTAGGTGTCCCTAAAGGTGGCCATACACTATGCGAAAATTCAAACACTGTGTGTACAGCTGGCGGCACATTTTCAGCCGTCATCCCTTGATCAGCTGATCGAAGGAGCCTGTTGGAAAATTTTTGAATGAACAGAGCCAGCAGCCAATGAGCTGCCAGCTGTGTTCAGGTATTCAAACAGTGGCTGGAAGCCGCCGTCCGAGTACAATGAAGACAGCGGGAGATTCCTTAATCAATGCTCGTAAGCGTTGATGGAGGAATGTGTTCTATTTTCTTTGTTCAGCCTGTGGTATGCCTATTAGTGTATGAGCAGCTTAAATATCAGGCTTCTGTAACATGCCATCACTTCTTGATAGTTTGTAGAGCCAGCCAACAGTAGTGAGGACCAGAAGCAAAGGGAAAGGGAAGCAAACTATCAAAAGATACAATTAATATGTGCCAGTAAAACAATAGCCTGTATAGTGACTGTCATAAATTATTCAACAATTGTGTCGCGCATTACCAACTTAATCTAAAATATTTCAAAGTGCTATTAGTGCATATATACACTTCATATAATCCTTCACTTAAAATGCTCTAAAACAATATACTGTATATTAGTGCTGAGACTTTAAAATGCTCAAAGTGTTCTTGCAGGTGTATAGTCCACACACTTATGACAAAGTGCTTAGTGCAAAACAAAGTCTCTCAGTGCTGTTTACATATCCTCTTCACTTGACACCACTCTTGTGCCCTCTTATGAAAAGCTCCCCTCCAGGTTAGACCTTCATATAGGTCATTAATCGCTCCAAGAATCAACAGATCGTTCATTGCCAGTGTTATTTTCTTCCTTCCCTTCCACAGTATTATAGTGTAGAGAGCAGGACCCCACCACATAGGAATGAATGGAACGCATAGTGTAAAACCAATAAATACCTTATTAAAAACGCACATGTGGAAAGACATGAACACACCTAATCATCGGTAACAATCAGTTCCCACTGCTCCGTTCAGCTGTCCAATATAGTGCACTGGCTGGATGGGGCTTCAGACCATACCACTGTGTCCTTTGCTCCACTCTGCGCCTAATAGCCCCGCCCAAAATCCAATGTACCCATCGCACGCCTGACCGAATAATACCCTTGGAGTTGGGTGGGTGCCAAAGTGACTGCAGATGCCTCTGCAATTTAAGATAAGTATATGTATAAAGTCACTTGCACTCCAATAGAATTTCAAGTCAAAAACGGTTTATTGACTCGATTGCTATCACATCATATAGCGACGTTTCGGAACAACAGCGGTTCCTTCTTCAGGCAAACAGAATGTCACATTCTCTTATCTTTAATAGCACTGCCCTACCTGGTATGTCACTTCGTCCGGGGCTCGGAGTCTAGCACTAAAATATATTGTTTTAGAGCTTTTTAAGTGAAGGATTATATGAAGTGTATATATGCATTATAGCACTTTGAAATATTTTTAGATTAAGTTGTTAATGCGCGGCACCATTTTTGTATTAATTTAGGGAAGCAAACTATGTTCCATTCACCAAAAATGCAGAAATTGTTTTTAGGTGAAGTTGCACTCAAAGCCCAATGCCCATGCTTATTTCTCAGCATCTGAGAATGTTCACTTGAATTATAGTCTCAGAATGTCTGACACTGTGTTGTCCTTGCAGGTGATGATCGGAACAGCATTAAACCTGCATGAAATGAAGAAACTGGTTACACACATGGGGGAGATTGAACAACCATGGAACTGCCCACATGGAAGACCTACAATGAGGCACATTGCCTGTCTGGATATCATTTCACAGGAATAAGTTTAAATGATATTTTTTAAACACAAAATGTATTTTCACGGTGGAAAGTACAAATTTCTTAGGCTGCTTTTTAGTGTTTAAAACTAATTTCATACTGCCACCACCACTCCATCATGTAAAATAATCTGCATTATTCTGATGAAAAACACATAAAAAAGTTAAAAACATAATTACTCCCAGAGAGCCTAAGATAGGGTGATGTCACAATCCTTCTGATGAGATCCTGGGAACTCAAATGATACCAAATCTCAGTAGAAAACCCTCCTGTGTGGGTTTTGGAGCATCTTTTCTTGACATTTTGGCATACTAAGTGTTCTCTAGATCTTGCTGGAAGGACCGCGAGGTCACCCTCTCCTGTGCGAAAGCCAATTGTAAGGAAAGTATTTTACTAACTTTTCTCTAGGTTTTTTTTTTTTTTTTTTTAACATGTACAATAATTGGCATTTTTACATAGGGGTTACATATTTTTCAGAGGACCAGGCATTTTAGCGCTTTGTTATTACCTTGACAGCTATTTTGATGGTTGAGCAGTACTTTGAAAATGAGGCCAATGCATAAAAACTAGAGGAAAGGCCCACAGCAGTCAGTCAGAAATTCACTTTTATTTTCTAGCTTTTACTGTGGAATGATAGTGAGGAGGAAATGTCTCACATTTCTTTGATTAAGATTTTATAGGTGATTTCCCCTATTTTGAACACTGACAGATTGCACATTTCTTGGTTCTTGTTTTATTTTGTACATCGCATTATTTTGAAATAAATTATTTTATAAAGAATAACATATGTGTGTCTCTTCAAAATGTTATTGATTGTTGCAATTAGTTTTTTTGCATTTAGTATTTTATGTTAGTCAGAAAAACATAGCTTTGGAGATAGAGCTCAGATAGTATTGCATGCCCTATACAAATTCAGCATCTCTGATGTGTCGATTGTACAAAGGATTGGTCTGTTCCAGGCAGTGGCATAATTAAGAAAAGACATAGGCCCTAAATGACTACATACCTTCAGGAAATGCATTTGGGAAACTAGTCATCTTGGCTTGATTGTTGAATATTCTCCCTTCCTAAATTAAAAAGAAGGGTAGGTTCCCTGGATTCACTCTTCTACTACCAGGCTTCCTTCTTTTTTTAAATATTTAATCTTTATTTTTACAAAATTTTAAACAAGTTTTGACAATCCATGTATTGCATGTTTACATCAATAATTACATTACAAACAGAATACAATAAACTCAAACCTACACAACACAAAAAAAATAAGGAAAGGGTAGAGGGAGAAAAACACATTAAAAAAAAGGGGGAGGGGAAGGGGGGAAAAGTACACATGTCATACATTTCCGTGTAAGGGGGATTCCGACAACCTTATAATGTTCCTTCATTATAACCGGACCAGGCTTCCTTCTTGATGAGAGTGGTACACTGGTTTCACAGTCTCCTAGACGTTGGGTCCGTATCCCCCTTCCACATCAAAGCCTTCTCAATAAAGTGAACCTAAGAGGATGGGTCCCACGCCTATTCCATTCCCTACACACCATCTAGTCAAAACCTGGGAGGGATTAGTCAACAATCCTCCGATTTCCTCATTTAGTTCCCCAAACCGCTCTTTTTGATAACCCATCCTTCCCCCCAGGAACACACTATACTACACTCTGCCTATGGAGGTGGTCTACCCCCTTGGTCCTTGAACCAATTGCAATCTCCACACGCGATTTAACAATGGTTTACATACCACCAGGTCAAATATTTCTTGAGTCACTTTTGCCCCTTACCCAACTGATATCTCTTTCACCTCCTTTGATATACTTCTACAGAACTCTCCACCAACCCATATAGTTTCTCAACTTTACAATATTTTGCTACAACATTATGCATCCATCCTTTCCTCTTTACCTGGAGACTTGGTCCAGGGAACTTGGGTTATCCATTGACCCAGATGACTGGGAAAAGACCTTTTCTACTTCTATAGCCTTTCTGTTGCCTGTGAAACTCAGGACAAAAACAAAAGTTTTGACTTGAAGGTGTAGATGACCATCCAGCTTCCTTTTTCTCTTTCCCTCACAGATGATTGCTGGTGGTGCCAGACTCAAAAGGGGATCATGGCACACATCTGGTGGGAATGCTCTCCGATTAAGACCATCTTTGCCTTGTCCTCCAGGGTGAATGGCATAAAAATAAAAAATACCACCCAGGCCATTTTACGCTCCATACACCAGACACCATAGAGCCCATTAAGAATAACATCTGTCACTTCCTTATGGCAGCCAAAGCAGTTGCCCCTACCACTGGCATTTGCAACACTCCTTACATTGTCAAATGTGTCACAGAGATAAACTGGATTATGCAGATAGAATGTCTTGGTTATATATGTTACAGAACAAATCCCTGACCCGCCCAAACCAGTGTCTGTTCAGGGCAGGGTTTATAGGGGATTAAATGGAGCTCAGGGCAGAGTCCCTAAAAGACTTAGTTCTGGGAGAATGGAAGGATCCTGAGAGAATGTTTTTGGAATTCAGGTCCTGGAAAAGAAGATTCCCTTTCGGAAAGGAAGATGAGGACACATTTTTTTAAATGTCCTAAATTAGATGCAGCTCTCTCTCAGGTTTCTAAAACTTCAGATTTATCTTTTGAAGATTCTGGGAATCTTAAGGACCAAATGGATCGTAAGACGGAAGCTTTACTGCGTAGGGCCTGGCATGCCAATACATCGTCTATGGCTCCAGCCTTAGCTGCTACATGCGTAGCAAGAAACATGGACTTGTGGCTAGAGAGAGTATATCAGCACTTGTCACAGGGAGGTCCCTCAGTAATAGGGAAAGCAGTTTCCTATCTTGCTGATGCAGCAGCTGAGTCTGTGCGAGCCTCTGCTAGATCTGCGGCTATTATCAATTTAGCTAGAAGGGGGGTCTGGTTAAAAGCCTGGGATGATGATATTTCCTCCAAGACTAAATTATGTGGTCTACCTTTTGAGGGGGGCTTACTCTTTGGTTCTGGTTTAGACAATGTCGTGGCCAGACCCTCAGAAAAGAGAAGTTTTCTGAGAAAAATAAGAATTTTCATTTTCGCAGATTCAAAGAATCAGAGGCCTATGGGGGAAAAATCAGGAGCAGAGAAAAAGGTGGCCTTTCAAACCTAAACAGAAGGCAAGTCTCCTCTTTACTGCTCCTGACTCCTCCACTAAGAAGTCTAAATGATGCCAGACAAGTAGGGGAAGAATGTGGCTCTTTTATCAGAAATGGTTAAAAATTACAGAAAATCTTTTTATTTTAACTCTCATCAGAAAGGGTTATCGGTTAGAGTTTCAAAAGTCTTCCTCCAGTTTTGTTCCTGACACCGAGATCCAGGGCAGCAGTCCTGATGGATTGTATTTCAAGTCTAGTGTCTCAGAAAGTCATTGATCAGGTTCCAAAGGAAGGACTTTTTCTGTTTAAAGTTTAAAGAAACTGAACCGATTTTTAGTGGCCAAAACATTCAAAATTGAAAGCATTTATTCCATTCGAAGGCTTTTAAAGAAGGATGTGTTCATGGTTACTTTGGATTTGAAGGACGCATACCTTCACGTACCAATTTACCTGGAACATCAGAGGTTTCTGAAATTTGCAGGTCACACAAATAAGTAAATGTTACATTATCAGTTTAGGGCCCTGCCTTTTGGTCTAGCGGCAGCCCCCCAGAATTTTTACAAACATTTTGGCAGAGGTTGTAGCAGATCTGCACTTATAAAGATATCGCTGATCCCTTATTTAGATGATCTTCTTTTATTCGCTCCATCCAGAACATAAATATTGCAGGATTTGCCAAAGGTCAGGGAGTCTCTGAGCGGGCTTGGGTGGATTCTAAATGTGGAGAAGTCCTCTTTGATTGCCGATCAATCCAGAATTGTTCTGGGTTACCGTATAGACTCGGTTTCTCAGAGGATTTTTCTGACAGAAGAAAAGATTGCCGGTATCCTGTCTCTGATCCGACAGGCCTGTTCAGTAAAGTCCTTGTCACTAAGAGAAATAATGAAAATTTTGGGAGTCATAACTTTCTCAATTCCGGCCCTGACATGGGCACAGTTACACACCAGGCCACTTCAAGTTTTCATTTTGTCTCAGTGGGATTGTTAAAGAGTAATTGGAACAAGAGGTTCAACTCACTCCAGTAGTGAGAGAATCAATTCTTTGGTGGTTGAATCCTCAGACTCTTGCAGAGGGGAGACCTTGGTTCCAACTCTCTCCAATTTGCATAACCATAGATGCCAGTTCCTGGGGGTGGGGAGCGCACACTCAGGAGTTGCAGGCTCAAGGGCCCTGGTCCCACACTTTGAGGGAAGCATCATCAAACATGAGAGAATTGTCAGTGGTGAAGGAGGCTCTATTAGTTTTGCAGACCAGAATAAGGGGCCAGTAAATGTTTATTCTTTCAGACAATGCGACGACAGTCGCATACCTCAATCATCAAGGAGGCACCCGGTGACCAAGGCTGCTGGAATTAACCCAGGAAATTCTGCATTGGGCAGAAAAAAACACTCAATCAATTTCGGCAGTTCACATAAAGGGTACAGACAATGTGATGGCAGATTTTCTCAGTCGCAGAAGGATCAGACGGGGAGAGTGGGAGCTTCATCAAGAGGTTTTTGCTCAGATAGTCTCCAGGCCGGGATATCTTGACATGGAACTGTATGCTGTATGACATAGAACTGTATGCAACAAGGTCAAACAGGAAGGTAACAGATTTTTTCCCCCCTTTTAGTGGAAGCAGACTCCCGGGAGGTGGATGCACTCTCTCAAGAATGACATTTTCCCTAGCATATGCTTTCCTTCCTCTATTCCTTCTTCCCCGGGTGTTACAAAAATTGAGACAACCATTTTACAAACTAATCGTAGTATCACCTTCCCAGATAGCAAGGGTAACTTGCCACAAACTTGTGGCAGGGTTAAATTTTAATTCTTTTTGACTTGCTGCACACATTCCTGGCAAGTTGTAGACTTACAGCACACTTGCAGCACAAGTTCTAGTAGACACTTTTTAATTTTGTAGCAAATTTGCTTGGCAAGTCTACAGCAAGAGTCCTGCAGGTCTTAGCAAGAGCTCTGCAAGTGTACAGCACTTTTGCAAAGCAGGCTGATCTGGAGACTTGTAATGCAGACTTGCTGTAATTGTGCAACAAAATTTCTGCTTTGTCAGTATTTTTGGACATTAGTTTAGCTGGGGAAGCACTATTTAGTAGACATGTGCACTGCCAAAAAATTTGTTTAGTTTCGTTTCATTTTAAATTCGGATTTGTGTTATTTCGTTTTTCAGGATTCGGGTGTGAAAGTCAATTCGGATTCGGAATTCGGATTCGGACGAAATTCGGTAGCGTTAGTACGAACGTTCGTTTCCTGTTCTTATTCGTTTCTTATTCGTTTCGTTCGTTTGCAGCAAAAGTGACATTTGAGGGGGAAAAAATATTTTTCTCCTTCTCTAATGTCACTTTGCTCCAACGAACGAAACGAATAAGAAACGAATAAGAAACGAATAAGAACAGGAAACGAACGTTCGTACTAACGCTACCGAATTTCGAAAATGGAAATTCGGATTCGTTTGCATTCGTTATGTCTGTAATTCGGAAATTCGGATACATCCGAATGTCCGAAAATTCGTCCGAATTTCGATTCGGAACGAAACGAATCGCACATGTCTACTATTTAGGCGATTTTTGGTGGCCATCAATAGATCAGTGCCAATACATACATTTTTTTTTCCCCAGTGGGACTTGTCATTGATTCTTAGAGGTCTTACTAAAGAACCTTTTGAACCAATAGTGGAGACCTCAGTGAAATGGTTGACTTTCAAGATGGTTTTCCTTTTAGCAATAATTTCGGCTAAAAGAGTAGGAAAGGGGTATTTTGGAGATTGGGGTTTTTAAGGCACTCGAGACAATACTTCATATAAAAATTGTAACTTTTATTAAATGCATGATTAAAAAAGGAGCTCATATTGTAAAAAAGAAAGGCAACTCAAGAGGAACACCTTCAACCTCCACCAGAATCCTGAATTTTGACTAATTATAATTACATGAATATAATTAATTTAGTTGATTCATACAGACAAATTCAATTGTAGGTCGCACCCCATACAGTGTGATTGACACTATCCAATTGACTGAACAGCGAATGAGTTCATTTGTTTGTCTTCCGTGTGATCAGAACGGAACAAAGGTGGGATTTTATTCAATATTTAGGACCATCCGTTTCATCAAGATGGATTAGGTATGGCCCATTGGAACTGATAGTTGTTATTAGGGTTGTTCAAAAATTATACTGTCCTAACATTAATTTGTTCTCTTAGTTGAGTCAATTGACACTATCAACCATTAACAATCATTATTTTTTCCCCCGTGGGACTTGTCATTGATTCTTAGAGGTCTTACTAAAGAACATTTTGAACCAATAGTGGAGACCTCAGTGAAATGGTTGACTTTCAAGATGGTTTTACTTTTAGCAATAACTTCGGCTAAAAGAGTAGGAGACCTACAGGCCTTATCAATCAAAGATCCATATCTTTCTATTTTACCAGACGGTAATATTAAGACCAGATCCTATGTATCTACCTAAATTGACTTCAAAGTTTCATAGATCACAAGAAATTACTTTACTTTTTGCGAGAACCCTAAAAATCAGGGGGAGGTGTTCTTTCATACTTTAGATGTCAGAAGATGTCTTATTAGGAACCAGCAAGTTTCCAAGAATTTTAGAAGGACAAGTCAATTTTTTTGTCTTATTTGAAGGGACAAAAAAGGGCTATTTAGCTTCCCATTCCACTATTGCTAGGTGGATTAGACAAACTATTGTATTTGAATATAAGAATGAAGGATTAGAAGTCCCTAAATCCACTAAGGCCCATTCTACCCAATCTTTGACTACTTCATGGGCAGAGAGAGCAGGCGCTTCAGTTGAGCAGATCTGCCGAGCTGCGGTTTGGTCAACTCAGGACACCTTTGTGAAACACTACAGGGTGGAGGTCCTGTTGCAACAAGATCCTGCCTTCAGCAAGAAGGTTCTGCAGACTGCTGTTCCGCCCTAAGGTAGGCCTGTTGGTTTACTTGGTTATTCTCTCAGGTTGCTGTCCTGGAAGATGATTGGGGAAAATCCCAGTTAGACTTATGGGTATTTCTAAGAATCTTTCAGGAAAGCAGGCCTACTTCCCACCCTTGTTTGTGGTGTATACTAGGATGGTTGTTTTTTTCCCCCCCTCGTGCACTGGTGGGGGTACTTTACTTTAATCTCTACTGAGGGACGAGGGGGTGGGAGGGGTTTTTAAACCTTGTTAATTGTGTTTCCTGTAGATGGGAGAACCAATCATCTCTCAGGTTGCTGTCCTGGAAGATTCTTAGAAACACTGTTACTGGTAAGTCTAACTGGGATTTTACATTGTATTCAGTAGGAGAAAGAGTGCCTCCTTACATTAGTACTCAGTAGAAGGATGCCCCCTTAAGCCCCGTTCACATTGAGCGATTTATCGCGCGGTAATTCCCGCGATATCGCGGCAAATTACCGTGCGATATCGCGCTCCAATGCATTTCAATGGGGCAAAGGGTCCTGCTGTCGCGGGTCGTGTGTCGCTACAGCAGGACTCTTTTTGGAGCAGATTTAGCCGCGATCCAAGCTTGCTCAATGCAAGCTTGAATGCGACATCGCGCGGCAAATCTCGCGATGTCGCGCAATATGCAAATCGCGCGACAAACGCGCGATTTGCATATCGCGCAGTGGGAACGGGGCCTTACTTTGGAAGTTAGTGGGAGGAAGAATGTCCCCATTACATCGGTTCATTGAATTGTGCAAAGGAAAATGCCAATGTAGCATGGTTTATTTATACACACATCTGACTGGTATGTCATCACATCATATTATGTCTGATGCATTCTGCGCTAAGGCAATCTTGAATTGGCTGACTCTGGAACTTTGCATGTGCAGCACATTTACCAATGAGGCTTTTTTCTTAATTTCTTTTAAAAGATAGTTTGCCCCCATCCATGATCAGTTTGCAAAAATGCCCATTCGTTGATGGGAGCAAGCAGGTTAATTTTTGCATCTCTAAAAATGGATGGATGCCTACTCTTAAAGCGGAACTCCATGGTATAAATATATATATTTACATTCGTCCAGCTTGGCTCAATAATAAATATGCATATTTTATACCTAGTAGGGCCATGGAGATCCTGTAAAGTACTGTAGTAGTAGCCAGAGCTCCTATAGTGCTGTACAGTGATCTTCCAGGTCCTGCACTGCCGTTGTGCTGAGCAACTTCCCCTTTGCTCTGAAACACAGGGGGTCGCTCACGCGGCACAGTGGCCATTCATCACTCACCTAGTGTTTTCATGAATGAATACAAGGTGTTATCTGATTGGAAGAGGGACGGTGATGTTACAGCTCTAAAATTTCATATCAGCTTTAACATGTGAATGTAATTTGAACAGTATTTTTCAATCTTTCAAAATCTGTAGAATTATACAAATATCTGGTAATGCTGCAGTAAAGGCCCTTGTCTATGCACTTTCTGATGTAGATTGACAACAATCTGTTGCGGTCTCCCAAATAAGCTCCTGTGTTGTCATCCTGTCACATGGGCATCTGACGGAGACTATCAGTGGCCATTCCAACGCATTACATAGGTGTGGTATGCTGTTGTCACCATCATGAAAGCCACCCAGAGAAATGCTATGCAGCCCCTGTGGAGTGCATGGAGCCAGGAAGTGGATGAAGTAGATCAGCAGCGAAGCAGGAAGTGGATGAAGTAGATGAGCTGCACTGACCTGCAACAAATAAGGAAAAAATATTGAAACAAATGTATCATTTAAAAAAACAAACACTTAACGATGTAGCTCTTTAGGACCCTTTCACATGGGCTGATCATGAGAGGATCCTTGCAGGGATCCTCTTCTGATCACAGCAGTACGGAGCGATGTCACCATTGTGACATCTGTGTCCATACAGTTTTTTCCTCCATTGCTGCATTTACCTGAGACCCCATGCCAGTCTATGGTGAATCCGTTTATATCAGATTACCACCGATCCGGCCCGTCGAAATGGAATACTGTTCTGTTTGTTTTTTTCAGACCCAGCTGGGTGTAAACAGACGCTTCTCCGTTTACTCACGGCTGCCATAGACTTGCATTGGGCATCCGATCAGGTCCGTCTGAAAAACTGACAGGTCATTTATTCACAGGATCTGCCATTCTGGCAGGGGGACTTGTAAATTTGAATGGAGTACAAGTGACCTCCTTGTAGTCCATTGCTAACTCCCCCCCTCCATAACTGAAGGTCTGTACCTCTGTATGGACAGGGGCTGGAGGAATAGTCTGCAGGAGCCTGACCATTACACCCATGATTTACTGAATGTGGTTTCAATGCTTTTCAGGCTCCACTGCAAAAAAAATACGAAATACACTTTTTTCTTTTTGTATTACATGTGCACTTTTCCTTTTGTAAAAAGTGGAACATGCCTTTAAATCTGCTTTAAGAAAACACGCTTTGGGGACGGGTCCTTGTTCACAGCGGCCTTTTCCCATCACAGGTAACCGAGGGAGAATCTCAGCCGGGTTGCTGTGAACGTGACAACTTTCCCTTTCCTTTCGGGATTCTGGCGGCTACCGTAGTAGCTAGATCCCCCGTGACGTCAACCCAAAGCCCCGCCCTCCGGGATTGTCCGCCCACTCCCTGTGGTTACCCGGATGTAGGAGGTGAGCGGAGAACGTCATTGTTCAGACACACTACCCGGCAGAAAGCGGAGAGCGATGGAGGCAGCCGGGGACTGCTGGCGGTAATAATTCGGGTCACCTCGCTCAGGTAGGCGGGGGGAAGGCCGGCGCTGGAAAGCGGGCAGAGGGGGGTGGGACCGCCGGGAGGTCGGCTAGTGTGGTGAGGCCTGTGCCGGCTTTTTAGGCCCGAGTCCTGCTCAGGCCACACTAAACGGCTGTGTAGAGAGCACTTGGCAGGCGCAGCTGTGCTCTGTGTGCGTGAAGCGCTCGGCATGCAGAATGGACCGGCTGTGTTGGGATAGGGGGGTGCCGAAGCCGGCCAGCTAGCTCTCCATTATTGTACACATGCTCCGAGGCGGGACATTCCTTCATACACGCGGGGCTGTGATTGTGTGGAATACAGCCATAGGGCCCGCACACCATTCCCATCATCTACCAGGCACATCCATTATTCATTGCACGAGAGGCCAGCCCCCATTACTGGGCAGTGCCTGCTTAGCTCTATTCATTGCTGCTCTGCCCACATCAAGGGACATTTGGACAAAAAGTACTGGCTGTTCTGCCCATGTGCTCAATTTTTAAATCTAACACATGGGACAATTCTGCAATTTTTCATTAGCGGCCCATTTGCACCTTTCTGTTCTGTGCGCCCTAGTAAGCAAAACACATGCGTCATTATTACAATGCATGGTGCAATGGGGTGCTACTGAAAATAAATAGTGCAGTAATGCAACACATGGGTGTGAATGGTCCCCAGATTTAACCTTCCTGCAGCTTTCCAGTATAAAACAAAACCTCAAACGCCCCTTTTTATTTTTAGACGGAACTTCCGGAATGATCTCTTATGGAAACTTGCATTGGTCCAGCTTGGTTTGATGTAAGTATCCATATCTGATATTCAGAGGAATGCTGAAAATCACTGTAGTAGTCCGCGCTACATGCTTGATAGCCACAATCATTGGGCTGTGGCTTCCCCTCTGCACAGGGAGTCACTTGCTGGGACACACCACCATTCAAAGAATGAGCAACCCGCAGATGCAGCAGTGCCGTCCGTCCGTTTTTCTACTACGGGCGGACGGCAAGAGGTTAATGAATTCTAGTCTGAACGAGGTAGAGATTGGGATGTCACTGCCTCTTGTCCAATCAGGGAGCACCTTTATTCCTATTAATAAATAATACAGGGTATTGTTTGGTGCGGAGTGAAGAACGCCCTGTGTGCAACGTAGAAGCCGCTGGTGCCACAGCGGGAAAAACAAATATCATTGTATGCAGTGCGCACTACTGTAGTGATTTTCAGCACCCTCAAATCAATCATATCAAATTTGCATTGAGCTACGTTTGACCAATGTAAATCTCCACAACAGATCATTCCTCTAGTTCTGCTTTAGAAAGCCATGCTTGAGATTGAGTCCAGTGACTACCTAGGCTAACATGGATCACACAGGAGGTATCATTCTGCCGTTTCCTCTCTATGTGATCATCATTGAATTACTGAGATTTATGCAGAGTTGTTTGTTTGCAATATTCAAAAGAAATATTTCTGCACTCCTCTTCACCCTGTTATAAGCTTCTAAGGTGCGCTGATAACTTTCCCCTTCTGTGCTGATGATATTGCTTTCTTAATGCGTGTACACCATTAACTCATACACACATAAATATGCATATACTGTGTGGAAGAATGTGAACTGTAATACAAATAAATAATGCATACAGTATTACCGCCTCAAAAACACTTTGGGGCCATTCACATTGGTCCGATGCATTAATTGCACCGTTCCGTGCAATTAATGCACCTACCGTGCATTAATAGTGCGTTGCCATTTATTTGAATATAAATACTATCCTTGTTGCACTCCTTACTGAAAGGTCCCTTGTAGTGGGAGGTGCTTTCAGTGACTGCGGATGGCGCTGCAAATGGTCACCAGCACACCAGTCCTTTTAGGATAGCAAAAGCTTCATTTATTGAAGTTCTTTGTCATATGAACAAGCGCTTTCAGGACCACACAAGGTTCTTCATCAGGCTTTAGCATCGTCATGTACTTTTTTCAGCGTCATGTGACAAGCAATACAGAGCTCAGGTGTGAACAAGCCCTTTGAGAATAAAGGCATTCTTCATCTTGAGCATTGTCGCTTTTTGACAATCGCTCAACAAAAAGCTTGGGCTGAAATGAGCCCTCAACTGATATTTCCAAAAGCCAAGCTATCCCGCAAAGTTCAGAACCTTTATCATCCCAGGTGCATATCTTGTGTACAGGAAATGGAGATATTACATTTGTGCTCTAAAACACCACCCTTGTGTATGTAATATTGTTTGCAATTTTAGATATGCCAATCATCACTACTAGCATTTTTACATGTGTTGGAATTTAATTGATGTAGGGCTGCTACCAACTAATCGATTAGTTGATAATTATTAGTTTGTTCGATCCCCCTCGTTCTCTCCTCCATGCTAGTAGGAGGGCACAGCAAGCAGTGGGTGGGTGCAATAGCCAGCCTGCTATTGGAATTGGCCAATAGCAGGCTGACTATTGCACCACCCACTACCTGCTGTATTTACATCCAGCTGCCTTCTGCGGAATCTCTGCCACTGGCAGCTGTCATTCCCAGGCTGAAGCTATTCAAGGGCCATGTGCTTACAATACAATTATTTAAAAAAAAAAACAATTTTAAAGGTGAGGAAAAAATGCATTTTTGTTTTTGGCCTGACAAATTCTGCTGCAGGAGGTGTGTTGCAGTGCCATTCATTTCAATGGCACCCCAAACGCGCCTCCCACCGACAGTGTGATCGACCGCACTGGAACGCACGTTACCTCAATTCTATGCGTTCCAGTGCAGTGTGATTGCAAAAAATTGTGCATGCAGTTTTATTCTGAAGTAAACTTTGCAACACTGCATTTGTGTAATTTTTTTTGAAATTAAGGATATTTTTTTTTATCTGATAGAAGACATAATTGGCCAACTAATCAATTATGAAAATAATCATGAAAATAACCTGAAGTAATGTACACCTAACAGTACCATGAAACAGAAAAAGTGTGCTCAGAGGAAATACTTTATTATCTCACACACCTTATTCCCAGTGATATTCTACAGGAAAAAAAAGCAAAAACAAAAAGAAGGGACATTTAGGTGTGAAATGTAAATACAATAAACATCAAAGTTTACAATTAAAAACGATTTTTACTTTTCTTGATCAAAAGGAGAAAAATTAGTTCAAACATGGGGGGGAATGTATCAAAACTGGAGCCGTTGCCCATGGCAACCAATCAGCATGTCTCTTCGGCTTATGCAGTTGGGATTTGAAAATGAGAGATAGAAGCTGATTGGTTGCAATGCAAATCTGTTCTAAATTTTGTATGCTTGTGTTTTGATAAACTCCGCCCATTGTTTTTATCATGGATCAAGGGTTCTGTGTTCATTTGGCATTAGGATAATTCTTCAGATGAGATGCATCCTTGAGAAAGTGGACTTTCTTTTAAGAAATGTGTTGTATGAACAAAATCTATATAAAACATTACAGCTGGAGACTTACTTTTAGGGGTTTATCTAGTTGTCAATGGAGCTAGCTCCTGGATTTGACATATTGACCTCTGAATTTGTTAATATTGTTCACTTCTGGTCTAATGTATGCAGTACTCTCTCCATTTCACTGGATATCAGTATATCTGCTATTTAGATTTATAGGAATGTTTTAACTTTTTTGTCCTCCCTTTTTTTTTTTTTTAATTACATTTGATTGCCCGGGTGTTAGGGCTTGTTCACACCATAAAGAGTGAGTTCCAGTGAGGTCAGCTGCTGGAACACACTATCTCATCCTGGCCGACTTCCTGCTTTCAGGGGCGTTGAAGTCAATGACAGCAGCCACGCCCCCCACCCGTAGTGCGATCGCCTGCACCAGAACGCGTGGCAAAACAATGCCTGCGTTCCGGTCCAGTGCGATCTGGTAGAATATTGCTTGCAGCATTTTTTCAGATCGCACTGGACCAGAATGCAGGCTTTGTTTTGCCTTGTGTTCCACTGCTGGCGATCACACTGTAGGCGGCGGGCGTGGCTGCAGTGTCATTGACTTCAATGCACATTCACGCCCCTCCCCCCCCTGAACGCAGGAAGCCAGCCGGGATGCGATAGTGTGTTCCTGCAGCTGACCGCTCTGGTATGCACTGTTTATTGTGTGAACAAGCCCTTAATGTGATATACATGTAATTAAGGCAAACAGTTTTTTAATTGTAAAATGTTATGTTTACTTTCCACACCTCAATATATATAATTTCTGTGTATGCGTGTAGGGAATAAACAAGTTTGCCTGGTTGGTAGCCTCCCTGATATGTTTTTGAATGTATTGAAAATCCTGTTGTACAGTATGTACATCTGCTTATATATGGTTTGCATATGTTCCTTTGTCCAGTGCAGTATCAGCCCCTTCTACATTGGAACAGTGTACTGTTCATGTTTATATCTAGTGCATCTAAAGCAAACGATCAGAACCTCTGTCAGGTTATTATTTCTATTTCCCAAAGACACGGCCAAAAATGATGATGGAAAATGACTAGGGCTGCAACTAATTATTATTTTCATAATAGATTAGTTGACCGATTTATTTTTTCGATTAATCTGATAAAAAAAATTCAATTAAAAAAATGCCATCCTTCGTTTAAAACAAAATACACAAATGCAGTGTTACAAACATAAAGTTTACTTCAGAATAAAACTGCATGAATAATTTCCTGCAATTGGCCTGCACTGGAATGCACGGCATTGCCGTATTGTGTGCTCCAGTGCAGGCAATCACACTGTGGATGGGAGATGCATTTGGGGTCCATGAAATGAATAGCACTGCAATGCACACTGAAGCAGAATTTAACAGGGAAGATTCCGCAAACGGCAACTAAATGTAAATACAGCAGGTAGTGGGCGGGTGCAATAGCCAGCCTGCTATTGGCCATTTCAAATTGTAAGAGCAGGCTGGCTATTGCACCCGCTCTCTGCTTGCTGTGCCCTCCTCCCAGCATGGAGGAGAGAGCTAGGGGATCCAACCAATTAATCGGTAGTAAGAATAGTTGACAACTATTCTCAAAATCCATTATTATGGATTAATTGGTTGCAGCCCTAGAAATGACCAAAAATAAGTGTCCTTATAGTATTTCCCTCATTTCCTGTCACGGTAACAGCTGTAAAATTTTGGATTTCCTATCACTTGCTGCCCTGGTGATGATGGTTACCCAGGCAAGATCTTCCCAGAAGAGACAGACTGCAACAAAACCTGGCAGGTTCTAACCCTTCCCTACTCCATTCAAAACAAGAGTACATTTTGGCTTTAAAGCAGAACTCTAGAAATAAAATGATTCACTGATGCCCTTTTTTTTTTTTTCTTTTTAACAATTTGAAGCTGCTTAAAAAGAAAAAATACATACCGGATTTTGCCATCTTATAATTCTCTCAATAATGTCTATCAGTGGAGTGTTGTGCTGGCGACAGTGGGGGGAATTCATAAAGCGTGTCTACGACACTCTTCAAAACTGTCATGCATCTGCACGACAAATGTTGGTTCTTGCACCAGATTCATTCAACAGTTGGAAACAAGTACATGAATTTGGCACAAGGACTGCCATTTGCAGTGCAGAGGTGCATTGAGGTCATAGTATCCTTTTCCGACACTCTATCTTCAGGTGCAGTTCAGTAATGCAGAGCATGATAAAATTACAGGCTCTCCGCTCGGTTACTGCATAAGTCACACAGACTTAATACTGTGGGTGGGTGGAGCCTGATGGGGATGCTGAGGTACTAGTTCCCCATCAGGTCTGCTCTGCTGCTGATTGACAGCAGAGGGGAGCTGAGGTGGAAGTAGTACCCCAGCATCCCATCATGCTCTGCCCATTTGTAGTTTCACTGATTAAGGACGCTGTTGACTATATCAATGATGCTGACAAAGCCTCTTTGTTTACATTCAGCAACTGGCTGGGGAATCTCCAGGCTGACAGCTGAATGAGGCAAGGGATGTCAAAGTGGCTGCTAGGATCCTGCCAGCCTGTGACCTAGCAACAAGTGACCAGGAAGCTGTCAGAATCATGACTGCTTCCAGTACATAAATGATCCACTCTGTGCACTGGTGTCTCTCTACACCAGATCTGAGTTGGTCTTAATTACTACTAATCTTTCAATCTGTAAACTGCAGATTAATTTGTTTTGAATCTGTTGAAACCAAAGCAGCAGATTTTTAAAATGGTGCAATTAAAAATTTCCTGCATCTGTCACCATTGGCGGTAAAGTTAACGAAACTGGCTCAGGACCTTTTAAAGGTCCATACCACCAGAAAAGTGGCACCAAGCCTTTCCATTGTGGTGCATTTTGTGAATTGTTGCTGCTCCTGTGTAAAATTACACTTACATATAGGTGCTATTGAGTAAATACAGTGAATCGATGTATTGTTTAATTGTATTTACTATTTCATTCATATGTAGATCAACAGTGTGACTAGATCTGCATGTGACTTCAGTTAAACGAACATTGCAAGTAAAATATGTTTAATGCTAACATAGAAAATTAAATAGACAATATTGCCAAAATAACGTCTAGTTTTCCCCCAAAAAAGAATGCAAGTATTACTTTGTTCTCTTGGGTAATGTCAAAGATATCACCAAATAGGTACATAGTGCAAATGTAAGACTTGCTTTGGTCTGTAATAAGTATACAGCAGGGTGGATTTGATTTAAATCACTAGTAAAAAGGCTTGATTTAAATCATAATATTTAAAGAGCAACTGTCATCTCTGTCCCGCAGTGGCTCCTCCTCTAACCCTCTGACTCACCGACAGTCCCATTCACTTTATTGGGACGGCTGGCGATGCGGCAGTGACACAACAAGGTGAGGGACCTTGTGGGCAGCAGCTGAGTGGATGCCCGCTAAGTGCTCGTTAAATGTAAGGACTCATTCTTGCTGGTAGTAAGAATCTTTAATATTATTTTTTGCAAACATAATGAAGGTTTCCTATTTTAGAATAATCAGCTGTCGGGTTAGTAAAACAGCGATATCAGAACGGATTTTAGGTTAATCACACATAGTTAAACTACTCAAATTCTTTTATTTAATTAAAACAGTAACATTGTTACATATTCTTGTATTTGCTTAAACATCAGTGTTTAGTAATGCATCAATGCAGTGCATGTTATCTCAGCTTTCAGAGCTTGGATTCATTGAGTTTACCAAACATGTAAATATTGCAGAATATACAGCCTCATGCTACATAACTCTGCTCCATTTCATGCTGAATAAACTAAATTATGAATGTATCTTAAATGGAAAACTATCTTTAGATAGATTTTTACCCAAAAAGCATTTTAGTAAAATAAATTTGATTAAAAATCAAAGAAATCTGATTTTATTTATTTAAATCATTGATTTTGATCCACCTTGGTATACAGGAACAAGAGCTGAAGCAGGTTTCTTTACAAAGCAGCCACAGCCTGAGTAGAAAAGCCTGTGTGGAAGTAGTGGAATCTCTGCAGAGGTCCAACACTCTCCCTGCTGTGTCAGCGCATTTCAGTCAGCAGGGTGCATTAACTTTTAGGGTTATAGAGCTCTAGATCTGGCTCAGTAGCTTGTGTATGGGGCATCTGCTGAGAGACCACTGCAGCATGCTGGCAGGAGACAAGTTTTTATAGTTTTCATGAAGAAAAAATAATTAATGCACACTTCATAAAATAATTTTTCTTTTTGTTTGCATCAGAGCCCGTTAAGCATTGCAACCAGGTGGATTCGCATAAGTGAGGAGGTATACACTGGCCACTAAGAAAAGTTGGCTTGTACTCCTGCACAATGCCTCCTATTTTTGTACTAAACAGCCCCCCTCCCACCAATAATAAGCCAGGCTGTAATAGTTGAAATGGAGGTTTTTGCCACGTGGATTTTCTGACAGGATCGGCAGGACGTACAGTTGTGACATACAGTTTTGAACATCCTATCCACCGCAGGCATCTCCTTTGGTCTTTTCTACCACAGACACACCGTTGACTTGACACAACCAGTTGATGGCCTATTGACATTTTATACCATTGCAGTCTATGATCTCTGTGCTGTGCAGGAAAAGGGGGCAAATGAGTACTGGGAAGAATAATTTATTTTTATCATGGACCGTTTGGCTTTGGACCGATCACACAACAGTGACATACTTTTTAAGTAAGTGTAATCACGCTCAAGATTTAAAGATGATGCCAAGTATAATGCACTTAACCTTCTTCTTTTTTTTTTCCTTCCAGCTAAATCTGGGTTTTTTTTGTAAGATCAGCAATTCTAGTTTTTTGGATTTCCCTACGTGTGAAACATTTAACTCTTTCCAAAGTCCACCAGTTGAGACATCCAATAGTAATCTTTTATCTCTTTCCTTACTTTTGCAGTGTCAAACCATGACTATAATCGATAAAGTTTCCCCAGTGAGTGCAACATGCCAGAACCAGCTTTGCAAGACCATTTCACCATCTTCTGGAGACATAGATACAGGTTCGACAACTTTGGGCGTAGTATCAGCCCTGGCTAAAACGTCTCTTGGACCAGTACCTGGTGCTGCCGTTTATTCCAGCTCATCTGTTCCTGAAAAGCCTGTGCCTTCAGAGCAGAATGATCCACGTAAGAATTTGCTCTTGTCCTGATTTGATTTTTTTATTTTTTTGCCCCAGTGTCCTGTATGTTTTTTTTATCTTTTGTATACAAAGATTTCTTGTGGCTGTTACTGCATCTCTGTATATACACTGTGGCTTCCGTATGTCTTCTGAAGTGGCACAAATGACAGGGACAAACATCACTCTTGTTTAAGACTTAGAAAATATGTTGGGGGGGGGGGGGGCTTTAAATGTCCTATTTTTTTATTTTATTTCATCCAATACTATAAATCAAGAAAGGAATCAAAGGAAGCTACCCTTAGGTGGATGCAAATTCCGTAAAATCTCTTCCTGAGCACTGCAGGACTCCAAAAACCCAGTCCCTTATAGGCCAACAGGTGATGGGAAGGTTCAAAAACCATTAATTTACATTAAATGAAAGCAAGCTGTAATTTATCCTTTTACTATGTAACTTCCATTTCGTTAACCCTTTATTTGGCAATCGCGGCTCATTTCCTGTTATCTGCTCACTCTTCTGATCACTCACCAGTGCGTTTAAGAGGACTTCCTAATCACTGCCTAGTAACCTTTTGCATTGCAACTCCCATTCAGTGTACATTAACCCATCACTATGTAGCCTCCAGGCACTGCACATTTTCCGTTACTGGGCACAACAAGCTTTTTTCCCCCCTTTATACAAGTAAAGTAGCGTGGTCAATAAAAGACATAATGACGACACATGTGGTTCAAGTGGTAATACCTGGGAATGCCCTTGTTTTCTTTTAGAACTCTAAAGCTCGAGACCCATGCTTCTATAAAGATCCAGCCAGGACTACGTAGTTTTTAAGGAAAGTGCTTCTAGAGTAGGTCTGTATCATTTTAAAAGAAATGTGTAGTGGTTTAGTATATATTTTCTGTATTATGGCCTGGATTTAAAAGAAATAGGAAATTTTTTTTTTTTTCATGAATGCAAGTGCGTGAGTTTACACACATACTGTTAAAAAGCCATCCTTGAGCTCCAATCAAGTGAGTCCATCAGCCTGCTGCAGGCAGAAAGTTAGCCATATTTCAGTCTCCTCTTCCTCAGTGTTCCTACTGCAATATTGTAACTTTGTAGCAGAGGCTGTTCTGTGTCTTATATTTGTGTACACAGGCAGAAGGATTTACATGATTGTCCTCTGAGTCGGCATCTCAGTCCAGGAATTAGGAGCTGGCCTTGTATAAACCCCGAACAATGATGGCATTCTCGTTCTAGAAAGAACAGTAGAGGAAGGCATTTTTCAGGGGGGACTACTGGGATCTTTTTCAGAGCTTATTAAACATTCTTCAGCACACACGGTTTAATTTTTTAACATTCTTTTTATCACGTACCCTTATTGCTATCACAATAATAGCAGCCGGGAGTGTGTTTAAAAACCCTTGCTGCTTGACAGAAGTGGTTAAAGAGACTGCTCAAAACTGTTACCTTGCTGGGTTTGGGTCTTTGAAGAATCAGCTGTATATTGGACAATATTGAAGCTTCTCCATTAGTGCAGCACACTGCTAATTGGGCATTTTATAGACGGAAAATATGAGCAGCCAATTTACAAGTCTCCTATTATGTATTTTCCTGTTTATTTTTACTTTCCATTTGGAATTATTCGACTGAATTTGGACTATGGACCTTTTCAGGCTCTTTACTACTTGAAGCTACCAGTAATCCTCTACCCATGACCAGTGTAGAATTTTGTTTGGAGCTCAACCATTTTCATTCTGGAAGAAGTTTTTAGTCTTCACTGTTCCTACTGCGTTTATTTATTATTGGAAGCAATACTAGTTTTGATATGCTTTACAAAAGAAGTCCTGAATGCATGTACTGTATTTAGGATATCAGTTGTTGATGAATCTTCATTTAAAAGAAGTGCCTAGAATGGGAAGAATACTGTAAATTCTGCATGAACTCTACAACAACCCTTTCGTTCTCTATTATTTATAGAATACAAGAATGCAGCTCTGAATTGCTTTATAGGCACTATGGTATATGAGCTTCTTTGCACAGAATTTTCTGGTTTCTCCCTGTTATGTTGCCATGGAAGTGGCTTGGATGTTTTATCCTTTGTGGGCGCCTAGTCCAGTTTTCCAGCCATTCCGGCATGAATTTATAGCCTGCTACTTAAAATGTATTAGTTATACCTATTTCTGCTGAGCTAAGAGTAATCTCGTTTCATAGTACTACAGCCACAGTAAGTAATTCTAAATAGACACTGATTCCAGTTATCTAAAATGCAGCCAATAGGTTAATCCAAGGACTTTGGAAATCCTCTGCAATACTAACTTTGGAAAGGTGATTTCCAAACAACTCATAAAATATGAAGAATTAAGAGACCTTTTTCTTTTTAAATGTCATCACATCATGAACTGATTTTCTGAAATATGGTGACAAGCAACACATGAATGTCACCTAAAATGTAACAAATTAGGATTTACTTCGCTTTCAGGAGGTTTGCCATTGGTTTTCCTTTCCAAATTCCTTTGGTTTGTCTTCCAGGTTCTATTTAATTATATATATATATATAAATTTATTTTTTTTCATCCCTCTACTTTGGTGCTTATGAATGGGAAAAATATGCTAATAAATGGCTTCTTGTTGCCAATAGCAGCAAATCAGAATTCTTGTTTAATTTAGAACTACAGGTTGCTGAAGACATAGACGGAAGGTTACAGGCTGCAAAAGGGATAACAAGAAATCGTTAGCATGCATGCGCCTTATAAATGAGCCCCTTTTTGCCTTTTCTCTCCTTAGGGTATCTGCTTACCATATTGGAACATAAATGTTTTGAACCGTAAAAATAATGAAAGAGTTGTCATAAGAAAATTATTCTTATTGCTATTGTTGACCTTATTCTGTAAGTGCTGGTTAGAGTATGCTGATCAGGAAAGTTTTTTGTTTTTATTTTATTACTTTGTAGGTTAACAATACAGCAAAGCCCACGAACAAACATTTGTGTATACAGAAAAAGGTCCAAGAATTACATGGATGAGCTTTTACATAACACAGAAGAAAAGATGCAAAGATCACACATTGGTCTACATAGTTTGTTGCCCACAACAATGGTATAAAGTCCTATAGTAACCACACATGTGGCCCTAGAGTAATCCCCTATCCAGATAAAACTGGCTCTATAGAAGTAGCTTGCACCACATAGTTCACAGCAACAGTGATTGAAGCCCCAGGAAAATGTTAGAGAAAGTCTAAGGCGGTCATTGGGTCTTCTGGAGGACTGGGCATCTGCAGGTAGGAAGTATGCCTGTTGCAGTGCCCTTTTAATATGTATTTGGATGCACACACTGTGGATTTGAAGGGGAAAAATTAAAGAGCAACACAATGTTTTACCTAGCATCAGAAGCAGATGGGACAGAAGCAGATGGGACAGAAACAGTTGAGGATGGATTTCAGCTTTCAAATGCTAATGCAAAATGTCTGCTTGATAGTCTGGCAATTTGGGTTTTCATTGGCAGAGATCGGCTATGGCAACCTACATCTTAGTGTCTTGAAAGGTTTCCTTTTAAAGTTACATTTTGTATAAAAGATTATCAAGGATGTTTTTTTTATCCTGAGGTAACTAATATTATGCAATGTTAGTTTTACAGCTTTTCCATATGTACTGTACATATGTTTTGTAGCCTTTAGAGCTGCAGCTAACACATTTTTTTTAAATCGATTAGTTAGCCGATTTATTAAGTTCGATTAATCGGATAAAAAACAAAAACACTTCTTTTTTTGTAGTAGTCTCTCCAGTGGTAGACTACTAGTTTGTATTGAGATTGTAGTCCATCACAGAAGCAAGCTTGGAGCAGTGGAAGTAAAAAAGAAAAAAAAAGTGTGGTGTGCAATATAGTGAAATGGAAAGTGTAAAATTAAACAGCAATGAATGCAGAATGGCACCGACTATAGAGGACTACAAAACCCAGCAAACGTACATTATACAGCACAATGCAGAATACCATCAGCTATAGAGGAATACAACAAATCCCAGCAATAGTACATTATAGCTGGCGGTATTCTGCGTTGCGCTGTACAATATACTATTGCTGGGTTTTGTAGTCTTCCATAGCTGGTGGTATTCTACATTGTGCTGTATAATGTACTATTGCTGGGTTTTGTAGTCCTCTATAGCTAGTGGTATTTGGCATTGCACCACTGTATAATGTATTATTGCTTGGATTTGTAGTCCTCTATACAGCACAATGCAGAATACCACCAGGTATAGAGGTATACAACAAATCCCAGCAATACATTATACATGCAGTGTATAATGTATTGCTGGGATTTGTATTCCTCTCTAGCAGATGGTACATTGTGCTGTATAATAGCACAATGTACCATCAGCTAGAGAGGAATGCAAATCCCAGCAATACATTATAGAGTACCATGTGTGGGAAAGTGCAGTCTTCCAGCAACTTGCTTCTGAGATCGGGCCGGTCTATCGGCGGCTGTCACCC